CTTGTCATCTTTTTTTTCCTGGTTTCTCCTGCCGGTCCAATTGGGAGCAAGAGGTTTTGGTGGGGACTTGGCGTTCTGAGATGGTGCAGTGCCATTTTCAGCGATCTTCCCCAAGCTCATAACAGCTGCCATTATGATGCTGACACGTTTGCAAATCTTAGAAGCAAGAGTAAACCCAAAACTTCAAAGGTGCTGCTGAGAAAAGGCTCTCTGGATTTAGGTGGTCTGGTCTTCAGCTTATTAGACAAATATCAAAAAGCAGCACACAAGGAAAGGAAGCTTCACTAGACAGTGTCAAGAAAGGAAAATGAAGTTCCAGAGAATAAACTCGGAGGCTTAAAGCGGTTGCACAGCAGCAGCGGCACCACAGTTCTCAAACTGTTTTGAAGGTGCGGATTTGCTGCGTGTCGGCGTCATAATTGCAGCTGTTAGGAGCTTGGGGAAGGTCGCTGAAAATTTTGCCATCAGCTAGACCTCTTTCTCACCCTATTTTACAGAGCAGCATGTCCTTTGGAGTTGAAAATACATTCCATATAAATTTGACATTTTGTCCATTATTCTGGAAGTCATTAAGGAGGCACACCTTCCACCAGACAGAGATAAAGGACCAAAAATGGGACTGTGAAGTATCTCCCAATGGTCTCTACTGTGGAATTTGTTTTATCCACTGTGCTGAATTTTTTGGTTTGCTTTTTAACTGCTTCTGGGGTTTGGGAGAGAATTTTTTGTTTGTGTCTGTCTTCATTTATTTAGTTTGTTTGCACCCCACCTTTATTTCCTTGTGGAACTCAAGGTGGCATATTTCTGAGTTCTCCCACCCAGGCTCTGACCGTGTCTAGACCTGCTTTTCTTCAACAAGGTGCCCTAGTACTAGCCTCAGAATAATTGAACAGTGACTTCCTGAGCAGAGTGTTCTCCTGTGAGACGTTATCTGGGATTTTAGGCATCACTGGTGTCAAAGGGCACAACCCTCAGGAAGCACTCTTGCACAGCTCACCTTCGTTTCTGTAGGGGTTGCATCAGAAAACTGGACTTTGGTAGACTTTGCCTATAATCTGTTGGTTCCTGCTGTGTGACTTCACACAGTTTATTATACTTCCTGTTGTCTCTAATCATATTGTATGTCTCTCAATGCAGTCTTGCCAGTACTAAAGTACATGTCTACTTCTAGTGAACCAGTAATAGGAAGTATATAATTAGCAGGGTTATTGAAGTCCTTTTGCTTTGGTGGCTAATCTTTTAGGCAGTGATTCAGAACATTATGCCTCTTTTATGCTGGTTTCTGGCTGCATAATCAGAAATGGAATACATTTCAATATTTAATTAAACATCTTGCACTTTAGAAAATCCACATACACCCCCGTCTGTAAACTGCTTTAAAGTATGTACTATTTATGGAATGCTGGGAAATGGGGTCTTTATACGGCCTCTCCACAAAGTAGCCCACCCCCAAATATTCATGAGAAAGAGACTGCTGGAAGGGCAGAAGTCTCCAGCAATTCACTTTGTGCATTCAGATGGGGACTGGTGCAGACATCCTTGGCCTTGGTGGGGTCCATAAGATCCAATTCATGTGAGCAAACTTATAAAAATGGCAGTTTCAGCTATACTATATTGTTGTTTTCCGGCAAGAAAATGAAATGCTATGTCCATCAATATTCACAAGCTTATGACATGACAAGCTTGCAGTTTGGTTAACCAATGTTTCAGCTGAATTGGTGAAATGGGCCTTGGCTGTCCTGGCTTCAGATATTCTCAAGCCTAGTCTTGATTCCTTCCCAGCCCCTGGCTTTTATCATGGCCTTCTCCAGATCCTTTTGAGACAGTTTTGCTGCCTGAGATGAAGGACAAGATGGTGCCGCCCCCCATTCCACATACAGAAGCCAATCAGGCTGACAGCTGAATTTCAGTTCAACCCTCTTGAAGGATTAGCAGCATCCCTCAGCAACACCCAAGGGCAGCAAACTAGACTAGAGGACATAGGGCAGGCTACACAGGCCTGCCCTCTAACACCTTGTTACTGTTTCTGGCCCCCAGTCTCTCTCACCTGAGGGGGACACCTCACAGTAAGACCAGCCATGTTTTGAGGGACAAGCGTAATATAGGTTAATATGCGTTTTAGGCATACTCTCTCTTCCTAGCTGTTTGGTATCGCAACGTGCCCCTGAGTGCATCACTTCAGATAAGATCATTTTAGATACCATTCTTCCTACATTGTTGGCAACTTGGTATATGCCAAATTGCATTCCTGTCTGCTTCTCCCTATGATTTAATGTCTGACCAGTGACTCAGCAGAAGTGATGATCTTGAGAACTTGTGTTACAGATTGACACAGAATCTTAAATTCCACTGGAGAATTTGTAGCCTCTGCACCTCAGATCAGACAAGGTATATCACATGGCACAGGAACCTTTCTGCAATCAAGATGGCCTGGGTCTTTCTCCTTGAGTTCTATGGAGTAAAGTCAGGACATAAATGGAATATATAACTCAGATAATCTTTCAGCAAAATGAAAAAGAAAAAACAACCCAAAACCATGCATCCTATATAACAGTGTTTCCCAACCTTTTTTGGGCAAAGGCACACTTGTTTTATGAAAAAAATCTCGAGGCACACCACCATGCCAGATGGGGAAAGGTCACTTTCTACTTATGTAAAAAAAAATAAAAAAATAGTAACAGCATAGAAGGTAATGGTTAGGCTAGCATCCCTCTTCCAAATATGCTAGGTTTTTATTTGCAGGGACTGTTCTACATGGGAAAGCATTCAGCACTGTCATTCTCCCATCTGCCATCTGAATTGGTACTATTCTGGGTCAACTTACTCTGCTGCATGTGTAGATGAAAATGGCACCAAGTGTGGGGGAGGGGGCAGAACAGGTTTCAGATACAGGATATTAAGCATACACGTACTTCAGATTGAACTGGTTGCTTGCTTTGCAAGTTTTCATTTCCCAAATGACTGCCTTGGCAAGCGCAATACCTACCAGGCTCAACGCCGGTCTCGTGCTGCCGCTTCCCGCGCTCTCAAGGACCCGGGAGGAGGAAGGCGTGAAGGGAATCCCGAAGGCGCGAAAACCTCGCGCATGTGCAGGCCTTCCGCCTGCGACAGCCCAGTAGGCCGGCCGAAGCGAGCGGCGATGGGATGTGGGAGGGAGCTCGCTCGCCGCCCCGCGTGTGCCTATGTGGGGCACGTTACAGCCCCGTGACGTCAGCGCCACGCAGGCAGCCAGGCAGGCAGACGGCGAGAGCCCCGCGCTGGGCGGCCTCTCCTCGCCGCCGCCGCCCCGCCTCTCGCCGCCCGACTCGCCCGCCTCCCTCCAGGCAACATCTCGCGGCACACCAGGCAACGTCTCGCGGCACACTAGTGTGCCGCGGAACACCGGTTGGGAAACACTGCTATATAACACACTGTGGTATGGAAGGGAATTAATTGGCTATGGAATACAGCTATAGAAAATGCTTTTGTCTGTAAATCTCTGCAGCCTTTTTATAGCCTCTAACTAAAGTACACTTTCCTGCTTTTGAGTTGTTTTTAAATCCTCCTTTGCTTTTGCGATTTAGCAGGCCATTGATTGAATTACATGATGTGCCAGTGTCCACAAGGCTTGCGGCCTGAATAAATTTAAAAGCAATAAAAATAGCAATTAGCATGAAGGCATGGGGAAATGGAAGGAACAGTAGGAACTATTCCCTCTATAATCAGGGAACAATGGAACATTTCTCAAGAAAATGTGGAGATGAAGGGGAAGTGGTTGTGCCTAAAATGTATGGCCCAAGACTGTTAATTTATGCAGTTAAATAAAGAACTAAACATCTGCGTATGCACTGCATGCCAAGGAAAGGAGTGCATAATATGCCAGGAATCATTTATATTTGCACAGTGTGATTAGGCTGCCACAGGTTTGCAGCGGCATGCTTATTTTAAAGTAGTTCCCTGATTTTGAGGAGAATGCATGGAATGTAGGCAGCAGGACTTAAAATTCTTTGTTGGGATCCACAGGCCCTTGAGGTGTGTGTTGTTGTCTCCGGACATGTGCCAGGGTTTGTCGTCACCATCTCTCCATGCGTCCATCCACTGCATTAGAGGCTTTTCAGGGTCAGGGTCAGGCAGCAGAGGAGACCCTGTTTGGAAGGGGGGTCTTCAGCAGCTCTGTGTGTGTGAAGCTGTTTGCAGGACCCATTTGATCCAAACCATAGTCAGCATTTTACCATTTACTCTGTCTTTTCGTTTCTCTCCCCCCTGCCCCCATTGATTTGTTGCATCCAGCCACAGCTTTCTCAGCTCAGGGGCTTTATGGACACCGATCATGTACACCATCTTCTTTCATAATACATATTGAAGTAGCTGCAAACCATTGAGGGAAGACATGCATTTATGAATGCAACCCAGTGTACAGAAATTCACGTGCCCGTTGTCAGACAGGATCTGACTGGTGACTGACATCTGAGCTGCAAAAGGAGGGCAGGCACACACTTCCCTCTTCCATGCCTACTTTGCTGTTGGTAAACCATGGCTGTTGCCTTCTCATATCAGGAAATTCTTTATTAGGAAACCAGAATATACCAGCAAGGACAGGATCCCTCCTCTCATTGATGCACTCAGGTCACCATCTCTCCCTCTATTCATAGAAAGTGTTTTGTAACACTGCAGTATAAACATTTGTGATTTTAGGTCATGGAGAAACTCCCATAATTGCAACGGCATGTTTTTATTATCATTGTGACTTCCATTTTGAACTTGTGTCTAGCACAATACAGTTCTAAAACAATTGTGCATTGGTAATAGATGAACATGTATTTGTTTGTTTTTAAACAAGACATTTGGGCATGTGTTATGCAGCTTTCATGTAGTGGACTCCAGTCTACGAAACCTTATGCTATAATCGAGTTGTTAGCCTTTAGTGTGCAATAATATTGCTTTTGCTGCATTTGGCCATCATTTCATATATCATACGGAGAAGACAGCAAATGATTTGTGTTCCCTGATGTTCTCCTCAGGTTTATAATTGGCAGAGAAAGGCCAGGACAAGTAAGTGAAGTGGCTCAGCTGATTAGCCAGACCCTAGAGCAGGAACGTCGCCAAAGAGAGCTTTTGGAACAGCATTATGCACAATATGACGCAGATGACGATGAGGTAATATGTTTGTTCTTTCTCTTGTAACTTCGTGAAGTTCCCTTTCCGGCATTTCATTCTCTCTCAAATGCTTTGTCTAATCACAGTAGGAAACGACTCCTTTTGCAAATGAACATCCCCACCCCGTTTCACAAGACCACAATCATAGATAGTCATGTTAGGCACAATAAATTTCTCTGTAAATATGTAAGAGTGTTGTTGCTGAAAGCACTCTCTGGGTTGCGGCAGAAAAAATGCACTTCTGAATGCTAAGTAGGGCTCCATATTGTCCCTGGTGTTTCTGGTCCTCGATACATGTCGTGTTGCTTTCAGATTCTTCTTCTTTTAAACAAAAAACATGACAACCCTACTTTGATTTTTTTTAAAAAATACAAGTTTCCAGTCCTCACCTCTGACCCAAAATGGGGGGGGGGGCGACGACAAACAAACAAAGGAGGAAAGAGACATATTTTTATGCCTTCTGAGGACCAATTCATATCCACTCATGTGGTGAAATAATCACAAAATGATTTTACTGTGTCAGTTTTACATGGTGAATATTCCTTATGAATGCACATCAGTGTGGTGACAGTTGGTATTTACCATGTCAGTGAGTTTCTTAGTTCTCAGGCTTCAGTAAATACCAGCTGTCACCACGCATGGCACATCCACATCTTTTTTTCCTTGTCAATTAAATTACTTGCCATGTTAATCAAGAAATGGCTTTCCTATATCAATAATAATAATAATAATAATAATAATAATAATAGTTCTATATTTATTTTAAGTATGTCTATATTGCCTTTCAAAAAAATTTGGTCTTCAAAGTGGCTTACCAAGTTAATGTTAAATAATATGAAAACAACACACCTAAAAAGAAAGTAACCAAATATCCAAAATAAACTAGACAACAGTGAAGCAGTTCTTGATTATTAGCTTTTAAGAGATGAAGAGAACAGGATACTTTTAGTCTGGTGGTATAAAGGTAACACTGCTGCTGCCCAGCACATATGTCTATAGAGGGAGTATTTATGGGGAGTTCTTTTCAATAGTACAGTGGTACCTCTAGATACGAACGGGATCCGTTCCGGAGCCCCATTCGCATCTAGAGGTAAATGTATCTAGCGATGGCACGTCTGCACACGCGCACGTCGCTTTTCACCACTTCTGCGCACACGCGTGATGTCATTTTGAGCGCATGCGCAAGCGGTGAAACCCGGAAGTAATGCGCTCCGTTACTTCCGGGTTGCCACGGAGCACAACTCGAACACGCTCAACTTGAAGCAAATTTAATCCAAGGTATGACTGTAGTCCTTTCGATAACTTGCTCCCAAACTGATTAACTCTTTATAGGTTAAAGCAAGCACTGCAAATTGAGTCTGGAAACAAACTGGGAGCCTGCACATATACTGTAGTACTGGTCAAATATGTTCACCACATTGAGTGCCAGTTAGCAATCTAGTCGTCATATTCTAGACCAGCTGAAGTTTCTAAACACTTCAGCTGGTCTATATATACAGGGGCATCTCCCTGTATAACACATTGCGTTAATCAAGCCTAGACACAACCAAAGGAAGAACTGTTGTGAGATCATATGTTGCTGGAGGAGATGCAATTTCACCTGGCAATATGTAACTTGGTCTTGAGTTCATATACTAAGATTTCTTAAGGCCTGACTAAGCTTTTCATATTGGAGAGTAAGAACTGTGCAGTTCAGGCAGTACTTCACCCCTGAGAGTTCTGCCCAGGGTGATATGCATAGCAGGCCTTGATCTTGCCTGCTTGCTTGCTTTCTCCTCTGATGCCTTCATCACAAGTATAGAGAAACCCAGAACAACTTACGGTTCATTCATTACCTTCCCACTGTGGTGGAGGAAGCCTAGGAGTAGTGAGAGAAGGAGGGCACAACATTTATGTACAAAATTTACATTCTATTTTTCTACTGCAGTTATAGTGCTCAGAGCAGCTAACAACAATGTAAAACTTACTACATCAGCTGCAAATAATAATAATAATAATAATAATAATAATAATAATAATATCATTGATTATACATACAGCTGGCAGAAGCATCTTTAAAAACAAGTGGTGAGTTCTAAAAACTCTCAACCAACAGATGCCAGTATAATCCTATTGATGAAATAGTCTCTCAGAACAGTAAAAGTTTTTTACAATAAATGCCAACATTTTCAAGAATTGTAGTTTCTTGTTTTCCATGTTTATGGAATTTTTTTTGCAAATTATGTTGTTTCTGTGCAACTTAAATAGGAACATTTTCTGCAGCCTTCCAACTCTAAAAAGACTTCACATTTAGACATCAGTGCTAAAGAAATCATTCCGCTGTTATCAAGAGAAGAAAGCAGTATATCTCTTTCTTTGATGGAAAAAAAAACATGGCTACTAACTTTTATAGGATGGAGATATGGATGTAGATGTAGATATAGATATAAAATTTAAGCCTGGGTTTAAAGTAATTCTTTTATTTGAGTTTTAAAAAGACTAGCTCTGATGCCCAACACTTGTCTGAATTTTGTTTTTCTCGTGGAAGATTTGGCTGGCTCTTTATTAAGAGCAAGGTTTGTTAATACACTGAAGCTCTGTTATCTGTCCAGTCAGGAGATTATTTTTATCTCACTGTAATTAGTTTTGAAGGTTTTGTTGTGTAAGGAGATGCTTCAAGTATAACCCTCCCCACCCCCCTCCCCAAGGCCTACTATATATACATGTTACTTTACAAGTTTTCCCCAATTTTATTTTTCCTTGTTATTGGAGATGGGGAGAACAATGACATTTTGCAGATAGCTGAAAGTCTATTAGCATGCAATCATGCAGCCCTTAACTCAAAGTATGAAGCGAAATCACATAGCCAGAAAGGACATGGTGTTGTTCCACATTTGATAAACCAACAACAAACTCAGATCTTCAAGTGACAGCCTCTATGAAGCCAAAATGCCACCATCCATGGCAGAAACAACTCACTGAGTGGGCCAATGCTGCTGCACTACCTTCCTGGCAGGTGGGTCGCTGTGGCGTAATGGGATGGCTGAGGCAATGGGGAGGCCAGCACAGTACAAACACACCAGTTGAGCCAATCAGGTCTACCTGCCAGTATGTTTGCACCAAGCCGACTTCTTCACCCCTCTCCTTACCAGTAAGCAACAGGAACCCGCCCACTGGGTTGCAATTTCGGTGAGCAATTTCTGATTCATGCCTAATACAGAGGTGTACCAGCAGGCTTAGAGGAGCACAAAACTTTGCAGAAGTGCAAAACATTTGCAGGCGGGTGAACTCAACGGGGAGGAAACATAAAACAGTTCAACAAAAACTAAACATGCTCAGTGGGCACAGAAGAGAGGGGGAACTGGGTGGAGTACCCTGAACAGGAACACTGCAAAATTTTGCTGTGAGTATCATTTGTTCCCATTGCCCTCTGATTCAGCATGGTGTTAACTTGTCATCTGAACTCCATTAGTAAGAAACCAAGGCAAATATGGTACTTGCTTTCAGAGTTCCTTGCTCCTGCTTCGTGGATGATTGTAGAAACTATACAGAAGACAAAGAGTTTGTTGACCATCGTATTAATGTATAGAAGAGTTCTTATTTAATGTTTGTTATCAACTGTTTTAGAATACTGACAGAGAATGTCATGGAGCCTCAGGCAACTACAATAAAAATAACAACTGTTACCTTAAAAAGGTTTGTGAAGAAAGTAACTTGCCTCTGATTCGTTGCTTCATGTGGCGTACTAATCATATTTTGAGATGTGGCTTATTAATTCAACATAATTTCTAAACAGCTAATGTTGCTACAGTCCCTCCTTCATTTATTCAGTTGCAGGCCGAAATATGACTCCCCACAGGTATAGCAGATGGGACTTTGACTAGGGAATCCCGTTTTGATCCGAACACAGCTATGGAGTTTAGTAGGCAACACTGGAATGATCCTTGGTCAGTTCCCACGCAGCCCTCTTATAAAAGAGAGAACATGCACAAAAGCCTCCTTGTATCTGTAGTAGCTGCAGGTTCTTAGAAGCAACTCTGGCAGGAATGCATCTGTCTAGCCTTCACTTGGATGTGCTTCTGGCAAGAAGAGGTCCTTCACTGCTTATTTGGTTCCTTTATTTTTTTGAGACAGGAACGTGGTTTCCCCAGCTGCCTTCCTTCCTTGTTCTTTCTGGCAATAGCTGGTTTTTTTAAGATTCCCTCTCCTAGCTTCTGCCTAGAGCAGTCAGTGCCCGAGAGAACCAGGGAAGCAGACAAAGCTGTAATTTCCTTCTTCCCTTTGGCGAGAAAAGGTGAGGTAGATGCTTCTGGCAAGAAGAAGAGTGATCTTTCTTAGCAGGAGTCTGGAGCAAAACGAAGGTGGACAGAAGGCTTTCCAGACATGGCCACTTCCCATGGTCACCCCTCAAGAATCTGTTCAAGTTGTGTGCCACTGCAGGTACAGGGGAGGTTTCTGTACACATGTCATTGAGAGGGGATTGTGCATCTTCTGGTAGTCTGTTTAACAGGGTGCTTGTGAGGCAGAATCAGTTAACTCTGCATATTCCCCTGCACTCCTAATAAAGGAAGGGTGGGACCTGTGCAAAAAGAAAGAAAGATATGCAATTCCTGTGATCTTAGCCATTAGAATTCTGCTGTACTTTTAGAATTTAGAACTTTCCGAAAGATTCTACCCTGTGCTTTTTGTTACTAGTGCTTTTTCAAGCTTGCTCGCTTTATTTCCCCATATATTTTTTTTAAAAAAAGTTTATTATTATTTATTTAACAACACGTATATTTCTGGAAGAAAATACTTCTAAGCGGTTTACAATGAAGAGTAAAAGAAAAGTTGAAAATGCCAATAAAAGCAAACATTAAACAAACAAGTTACATAAACAATTACAATATAAACTAAAACTAGCAATTATGAAACACATATTAAAATCGCAAATCAAGATCACACGTTAAAGTGAAATGCCTGGGTAGGCTTTCTTGATCAAGCAAGCCTACCCAGTTTTTGTTTTGAAAACTGCGTTCCGTGAGGTCCTATATTTCATTAAGGAGAGAGGATTTCAGAAATGCTTTAATTTTGTGCTTCTAAGACAGGAGAATATGCCACAGATGAAGATGAGGATGACATGGGGCCTGTCCTTCCAGGAGGTGATATGGCCATTGAAGTGTTTGAGCTTCCTGAAAACGATGACATGTTTTCCCCGACAGAAGTGGACACCAGCAAACTGGCTCACAAATTCAAAGAGGTAAGGCGAAGAGCACAGAGTTTGGTTTTCAGACAGTATTGATTCATACAATTGCATTCTTTGTGGATGGGGATTCCTCTCTGTAAATGATTTAATTGATTTCCCACAGACGTTCAAAATCAATATATGTAAATGGCTGGAGCTAGTCTGCTCTTGTTAAATGAGACAAATTGTGTCAGTTCTTTTTAACATGTGTTGCTGTAATGGTCATGCTGTTGTTTTTGTCAGAGGGTCTGTAAACAAGCTGGGACAAATGATCAGAATGAAAGCTACATTCCTAAAAAATTAACTGAATAGGTCATACTGATTCAGGACCAAGTTGCCTGGGGATTGCAGCCAGATAATTACCGTATTTTTCGCTCTATAACACGCACCCGACCATAACACGCACGTAGTTTTTAGAGGAGGAAAATCCGTAGGCATGCCACCCGTAGGCATTCCCTCCATAACACGCACAGACATTTCCCCTTACTTTCTAGGAGGAAAAAAGTGAGTGTTATGGTGCAAAAAATACGGTAGTTATAAATCTGATGCTCTCACTTTTCACTTAAACAAATCATAGAATCATAGAATCATAGAATCATAGAGTTGGAAGAGACCACAAGGGCCATCGAGTCCAACCCCCTGCCAAGCAGGAAACACCATCAGAGCACTCCTGACATATGGTTGTCAAGCCTCTGCTTAAAGACCTCCAAAGAAGGAGACTCCACCACACTCCTTGGCAGCAAATTCCACTGTCGAACAGCTCTTACTGTCAGGAAGTTCTTCCTAATGTTTAGGTGGAATCTTCTTTCTTGTAGTTTGGATCCATTGCTCCGTGTCCGCTTCTCTGGAGCAGCAGAAAACAGCCTTTCTCCCTCCTCTATGTGACATCCTTTTATATATTTGAACATGGCTATCATATCACCCCTTAACCTCCTCTTCTCCAGGCTAAACATGCCCAGCTCCCTTAGCCGTTCCTCATAAGGCATCGTTTCCAGGCCTTTGACCATTTTGGTTGCCCTCCTCTGGACACGTTCCAGTTTGTCAGTGTCCTTCTTGAACTGTGGTGCCCAGAACTGGACACAGTACTCCAGGTGAGGTCTGACCAGAGCAGAATACAGTGGCACTATTACTTCCCTTGATCTAGATGCTATACTCCTATTGATGAGGCCCAGAATTGCATTGGCTTTAAATCATTACTGGTCATTTGATTATCCTAGTCTAATGTGCCTAAAATACTTGCTTGTTCAATCTCCAGTTTAAAATTCAGTTTATGGCTGCAGACCTATGAACACCTACCTGGCAATGTCCAGCTGAATGCAGCAAGATGTTCCCAACTAAACATGTCTTCCCTGCACGCCCTTGCCTTCTGTTTGCCAGAGCGAAGGTGTCGAAAGCTGTTGGGCTCTAAGTGAGTCCCTTCCTTTTGTCCTGGAAGAACAAAGCAAGTTCAATCTGAACTATTTTATCCTAGCGTAACTAGGGTTGGAGTGATAGTAGGAGTATGACCAGGGTGGAAGGGTGGATATTCAAAGGACTTTTGTAGCCTTACATTGTGATGCTGTGCATGGTGTACTAGGGATGTTTAAGGATTTGGTTTGGCCCACATTTTTAAGTAAACTGATCTTATTCATTCTTTCCTGGACTAATACACGGATTGGAGCACAGTTACCCTTTTGATTTCTGTGCTGCTTTGAATTTTGCAGTGCAGCTCTAAAAACATACAAAAATATGTGTTAAATGTGTATGATAAATGTGTACTGAGATAATGAGAATGCTTGTGCTGTTGTTTTTTTTAAAAAGCAATGATTGGAGATTCACATTGAAACAGGGCAGAACGGGTTTAGGAATGAGCATACTGCAGAGCTGTCGAGGACCAGAAATAGAACTGATCTGTCCATTCCTAATGTTTACCACTCAGTTTGGTGGGGCTTGCCCCCAGTAGATGCGTTTAGAATTGTAGCCTGGAGATGGTTTTCTTTCTTCTTTGGGTGCTGTGTTTTGACTTCAGTTAGAAGTACACTCACATGCTTTATGTTGCACAACTTTCTCTTGCAGAAACGTATCCTTCCTAAAAACCGCAGGATGCTCTCTGGTTTGTCATTAAGGCAGGCTTGTTTGCTTCAGCTGCAAGCTCTGTGGGACCTACTGCGCTATGTTCCGACAGTTATCTGACTATGCAGTCAGCGTTCGTTATTTATTTTTTATAAGAGGGAGGTTCTGTTTTAGTAGCGCAAGGAAAGAGAAAACTGATAAAGCCATCTGCACCTGAGCAGATTGTATTTTACAAAACTCTTTGAGGGTCTGTTTGTTTTGCATTATTTACTGAACAGCCTAAATATAGTTCACTTGCTTGTGTAAGTGTTTTCAAAAAAGCAAGTAAGAGGGGGCTAGAAGCTACGTGGTGCACTGTAATTTTCAATTAAGCTGTGAAAGTGCTGGATTCATGCGCTGAACACAGGAGCGGATCGCTGGACTGTACAGTCTCAGGATTTGGAGATACAGGTTTTTCTCAGTTTAAAAGGATGGATTAAACTGTAAGAGTTGCAGGAGAAATAATTTAAGACTTTTGATTGGCTTTAAGGCTAGGTGTTCTGTGCTTCTCTGTTGCAAAATTTATTCAGGGAATTGCTTTTTACGTGGAATTTATATAAAAAAATATAGCATATTGGAATCAGATTACCTGAAGAACCACATTTTAAAAGATGAATCTGCCTGGGGCCTGAGATCTGCAGGAGATGCCCTCTTTTGCTTCCTGCCAATGTCAGAGCAAGGGCGAGTGTGGCGGATGCACAAAGCCACCCTTCTGATAGTGGTGTGTCTGCCGCCTAATGGAGTGGAGGTTGGGCAAGGTGGTGGCAAGAGTGGAACAGTGCAAGCACACTGGCAGAGCCAATCTGGTGTTCCTGCTGGTGCACCCACACAGCCCCAGCCTCACTGCTTCCCTTTCCCACACCGTCTGGTAAGAGTAAGCTCTGCATGCCCCACCATGATGGCCACACCTGGGTCAGTGGGAACAAGGCATTTTGGGTTGCTGCTCCCAGACTCTGAAATTCCCTTCCTTCCCAGGGAAGCCCATCTTGCCACCTCTTTAATGGTATTCTGCCAGCAGACCTTGTTCTAACTGACCTATGGCTGATTGTGGTTGCCTGGTGCTGAATGCTGTTTTTACTTCAGCCGGCTGTTGCTTTTACTTGTTCCTGTTTTCGTTTTGCTCCTTTCTGTATCTTGATAGTTGTTTTCGTTGGCTTTTTAAATTGAAATTATACCTTTTGTTGGGTGTTAGCTGCCTTGGACTTACTGGGATGGAAAGGTGGAGGCATATATTTAGATGATAAATAAATAGCCACAAGTTGTTGCACTTCACCTGTGACATTTAGAAAAGAGAGTGCGGTTGAGGTCACTTTGATCACGCTGAAAGGCCATAGGTGGGCATAGCTTGTAGCACCTTTTTCTGTGACCAGAGGGAGCCCAACCGCAATGTCATGTCTGTGTGTAACTGGTGAAATGCAGTGCTTTACATGCCACATACAGTTATTGTGTTCCTTATCAGAAAAAAGGACGAGGATGCATTCTTTTGCATGCATCTCCCCACAGCCCTTTGCAGCAGGGAAAGGAGAAGAACATGAGCTCGAGTAAATGGTGACCAGTTTGTTATGGAGGGAAGGACTGCTCTCTGCATATATACATAATGCAAATCAGTGTCTCTGTGTGTAAAAACAAATGTGGCCATGGGAGATAATGTATGTGCCTAGTGCAGGATGGGCTGTGACCGTTGCAATACAAGGAGAGAGTACATGCACAGTACATCAGTGTGCGTGCGTGCATGTGTGTAAGCGTGTGTGCACATGTTTATGGAAAAGGGGGTCTACTGGAGAAATATATGCATTCTACTCTGATGAAATCCAGTTTTGTTTTTGCTCTGGTATATTACACCCCCCCCCCAATATCTTGGAAAAAAATGTCCAAACACCCACCCTGAATAGTACCTTGTCCAAGTCTGGAGATTCTTCTCCTGCGGTTCATGTGATGGGTGAGGTGAGGGTCACAAGGGTAGACCAGCCATAAATACTTTCAGTGATTCATCCTGCTGAGATTGAGTTCGACACAACAGTAGGTTGAAGGTCACAACAGATTCCTTCTTTGGTTGCAGCCTATATATGTTGTGTCCTCCATAATGCTTGAGCCTTTTAATAGCCTGTTAGCTGCCCTCTGTGACATGCTTGCTTAATCCGTGTTAGTGAGGCTTTCTAAGAATATTCATGTGCACATCAAATCTGGGCTGGCTAACAAGCTGAATACAACAATCAGTATTTTCTCCTCTTTCAAGATATTTGACTTCTCCTGGCAGATTCGATGTCCTAATCTGATATTCCGAGAGGCTAGCCAGCAACACTTTTTCTTTAATTAACTTGCATAGACTGAGTCATTTTCCAAGCTAGATATTTTAATTTACAGTCTACTGCACTGCAGCAGTCTTCTGGGCCTTCTGCTGTGTGTACTACAGTATTCAGGTGGCAGCATAGAAGTCTTTTTTTAAAAAAACTGGAGCTCTGGCATTTGCAGCTCACTTGTTCGCTTTGTGGTTTTCCATTTTCAGTTGCAAATCAAACATGCAGTTACAGAAGCAGAGATTCAGAAGCTGAAGACAAAGGTAAGAATGATTACTGGCTACTAGAAAGAGCAATGTTCTTATTTTCAGCTGCTGTAAGTTTGTGTCCAAAGGGAAGCAAAGAAAAGTAAGTTCTCATTGAGAAAACGCAGCAAAAAAAAAAAAAGGTCTGTATGCAGTGGCTCCAGAGAGCTTGTTTTGGTAGAAATAGTTTATTCGAGTCTCAGGAGGATCATGATGACTGTTATTGCAAGGAAAATAGTTGCAATCGCATATTAAATTTTTACTCCTTCCCCCACATCATTAGAGCACTAACAGGCTTGAAAGGGGAATGGTAAAGAATTTGCTTTTAATATATGTAGCAGAAATTGCTTCTGGAAAGGCGAAGTATTGTTTTTTTTCTTATATAGACAAAAGTAAGAGGAAGTTAACTCAGATACCACTTCCTCCTTTAATAAAACAGGATTTATGTTATATTAATTAGCCAGCCTTGTTCATAATCCTGCATGAGACATTCATTTAAATGTTTTATTTCAAAATAAAATCCTTTTAGTTTATGTACCTTGCTGAATTCAGAGGATGCCCCCTCCCCCCCACTAATTAAGTTAAAGTACAAGTTTCTTTTAAACTCAAGAGTGGACACATAAATGTTTATTTCGTCACTGATGTTAGTGAGCCTGTCTGCAAGGAGAAAACATAAAAGGGGAATTCCTACATATTTTTTTATAATCTTCCTATTTTGATTTTTTTCTTCTCTGCTTCATTTGAAAAAAATAAATAAATCAGAAATCTTCTTGTCAGATTACAGTCTTACTTATCACTAGAAATCCTTGTGAGGCTAATTTGGTGTCTGCTGAAAATCTTACTGCCTTCAGAGGCTGTTGCACTTGGCTAACATCCATTCATCTGCGATTTGTAAAAACAGAAGTCTTTGCTGTGTTTTTTGCATGTTTCATTCTCTACCCCCACAACAAACCCTAAATAAAACAAGTTGTTATACATGCTTAAGACCCATTTAAATGGAAGTTAAATTCACAATTATAGGCTTAGGTGACAGCCCTTTGATTTTAATGAGCCAAAGGTATACCCACTTTTTTTCTGGATTTTCCTAGTGATTTCTCAAGGCCAGGAGTTGTGAACCTTTAAAGCTAGAACCATAGTTGGCATGAATGCATTTAGACTGAGGTGTTTAAATACATAACCTACTATAAAGGGGTGTATGGAGTGTTAGGGAAGGGGTGGGGGACACGTTGGGCTCCTTTGTTTGTCCACCTTTGGTCCCCCACCTGCATTCAGCTTTTTCATATGGCTCCTAGAAGCTGACAGCACCCCAGGAACGGCTTCAGCTGGCCGACTAAACCAGGTGAGGGTAGCCAAGGGGTCTCAAACCCTCGGTGAGTTAGGGACTTCCCCTGCATGCAATGACAGACTCCGGCAGATTGAGTGGATGAGACCAAGAATGGGTCCAAAAGTCATGAAGGCAATTTCTGCGCCTGCTGTAGAGGGAAGTGAGGGGCAGATGGGGCTCTTCAACTTGGGAACATAGCCCATATAGGAGAAGGAAAACTCTGATCCTAAACCTCCACTGCTTTGCGGGATATTTTTGGGAGGAAAAAAGGGCTAAGGAGTAAATTCTACACAAATCCGGAGTGGAGTCCCTAAGGCGGTTGGATGGCACCTTGTGCACTGCCTTCTGGCAACTCCTGCAGCCAAGCAGGTGCCCAACATATTGCTCTGCTTTCCTTTGGACCACACCAGCGAGGCCAAGAGGTGGGGTCCTGTCATCTGGGCAGCTCAGGACCTCCATACTCACTGCCCGGGGTTGCATCTCAGGGAAGTCACTTTGATGCTGCTAATGCAGCAGTTTGGCTTCACCCCCCCCTCCCGGGGCACCCCCCCATTGTCTCTTGACACAAACAGAAGCCAACAACAGCTATAAAAGGCAGATGATTAGTTATCACACACCACTTTATAGCTACGAAAGCTGTTAAGAGAGAAGCTTCTTCCAACAACAGTAAATACCCTTCAGGTAGGAAGCAAGTGTTCTGCCTGTGGTAATGTTGCACAATAAATTTGTCAAAATATGCTTCATTTCATCTCTGTATGACTAATTTCCAGTTTCCCTTGTTCAGACACATGGCAAACTTCTGGAAAAATAATAATAATACAAGCAGTAGTGTGTTCATTTTAAAACTGCAGAAGCCTAGGTGGATGCAAGGTGGGAAATGATGCATTTGAGATTACTCATTTAGCCTTAACGTGGTCTAGAAAGTTCTTTAGTGCTCTAAAATTATTTCTGTTCTGAACACTATTGTATGCAAGGATAGCCAACATGGTGGGCTCCAGATGTTGTCGGACCCCAACTCCCACCAGCCCCAGTTGCCAGTGATAATGGAAGCGGGAGTTCGGCAGCATCTGGAGGGGGCATCTCATTGGTTATACCTGCCATATAACAATAGCACTAGGCTGCTGTTCCTCATGCATGTTACTTTGAACCAACTGTACCTGAATGTAAAAGCATCTGCCTTCCTCTTTCAAAGCTGCAGACAGCTGAGAATGAGAAAGTAAGGTGGGAGCTGGAGAAGAATCAGCTTCAGCAGAACATTGAGGAGAATAAGGACAGGATGATGAAGCTTGAGAGCTACTGGATTGAGGCACAGACCCTGTGTCACACCGTCAATGAACATCTGAAGGAAACTCAGAGCCAGTATCAGGCACTGGAGAAGAAATACAATAAAGCCAAGAAACTGATTAAGGACTTTCAGCAAAAGTAAGCATGAGCTGAGATGCAGGTTCGAGCAGAATTTCTCAATCTGTGTAGCATAGGCATGCAGAGAGCCAGTCCCTGACTTACAACATTTGGCTACAGACCATGGTTTGCTTGGGTTGAAACAAGCCACAATCTCCATATAATCATAGGAAGCTGCCTTAGACTGAGTCAGACCATTGCTGCACCTTGCTCAGTGTGGCTCTCCAGTCTTTCAGACAGAAGTCTCACCTAGTCCTGCCTGGAGAAGCCAGGAATTCAGCCTAAGGCCTTCTACATGCAAAGTAGATGCTAACCCTTCCCCTACTGGCCTACAGTCTTTAATTCTGAGCCAGGAATTGTGACTTATTTCTCCATTGTGTAAGCAGGAAGTAGCAAAGAAGGCAAGATCAGCCCTCTTTGGATGTGCGAACTGGGCCAGAGCTTAAACCTTCTAAACATATATTACCGCTCTGGGTTAAATCTGTAATGTAAAAAATGTATACTTCCTAATAGGTTTACTCATAACTTTCCAGATCTTTGTATCTGTAACTTTTAAGAGATAAAACAAGAGTGGAAAATGAAAGAGGATTTAATGCCAAGGACACATGCACACGCCAACCCACCACTATATTATCTGTGCACCTGCATAATAAATTATTAAGCCTAATTTTAATAACGTGTATTTATTTAGTTTTGCCACTTCCACTGTGGTGATTAACAACTTTTCATAAAGCAAACAAGAGATAATTCAGGTTAATCTCCTACGATGTAGCTTCAGCTTATTCATTTTAATATAAAAGTATTTGCTCCACACATCCTCCCGCTTGCTGCTGCATTCTCATTATTATCAGGTCTTATCAAGACAATACAGTGGTGCCTCGCAAGACGAAATTAATTCGTTCCACAGGTTTTTTCTTCTTGCGAGTTTTTCGTCTTGCGATGCACGGTTTCCCATAGGAATGCATTGAAAATCAATTAATGCGTTCCTATGGAAACCGACTTCAGACCAGGTCCGGGGACAATCTGTCCCCCGACCTCTTCTGAAGGCTGGGGGGGGGCGAAAGTCTTTGCTCCCCCCCCCCCCACGGCAGCATTTTAAAATCGCCCCGGACAGCGGAGGACTTCTCCGCTGTCCCGGGCGATTTAAAAGCCCTCCCGGGAAGGCAGCCGGGGGGACAAAGATTTTCGCCCCCCGCCAGCCTTCAGAAGAGGTCCAGGACCTCTTCTGAAGGCTGGCGGGGGGCGAAAATCTTTGTCCCCCCTGCCTGCCTGCCTTTAAAAGCCCTCCCGGAGAAACGCAGCGCGTTTCTCCGCTCCCCCGGGAGGGCTTTTAAAGGCAGGCAGGCAGGGGGGACAAAGATTTTCGCCCCCCGCCAGCCTTCAGAAGGCTGGGGGGGGCGAAAGTCTTTGCTCCCCCCCCCCCACGGCAGCATTTTAAAATCGCCCCGGACAGCGGAGGACTTCTCCGCTGTCCGGGGCGATTTAAAAGCCCCCCCGGGAAGGCAGCCAGGGGGGACAAAGATTTTCGCCCCCCGCCAGCCTTCCCCTCTTTTGAAGCAAGGGGCGGCAACGGGGAGAAGATCGCTTCTCCCCTTTGCCGCCCCTTGCTTCAAAAGGGGTCCGGGGGGAGAGAGAGGAAGGCGCGCGCCTTTCCCTCTGTCCCCTCTTTTGAAGCAAGGGGCGGCAACGGGGAGAAGATCGCTTCTCCCCTTTGCCGCCCCTTGCTTCAAAAGAGGTCCGGGGAGAAAGGGGAAGACGCCAGCATTTTAAAAAACCTCGGGACAGCGGGGGACTTCTCCGCTGTCCGGGGCGAATTTAAAATGCTGGCGGGCGGCAGCGAAGCCTTCGCTGCCGCCCGCCAGCATTTTAAAAAACCTCGGGACAAAGGAGAAGTCCCCCGCTGTCCCGGGGTTTTTTTAAATGCTGCTGGGCGGCAGCGCTGCCGCCCGGCAGCATTTTAAAATCGCCCGGGACAGCGGAGAAGTCCTCCGCTGTCCCGGGGTTTTTAAAAAACCTCTCCGCCCCCGCCAGGCTTCAGAGCAGCCTTCCGAAGCCTGGCGGCGGGAGGTGGTCCGAGGACAGTGGGCAAGACGCCCTGTCCCGGAGATTTCCCTATGGGCTTTCGTCTTGCGAAGGAAGCCCATAGGGAAATTCGTTTTGCGAAGCGTCTCCAAAACGGAAAAACCTTTCGTCTAGCGGGTTTTCCGTCTTGCGAGGCGTTCGTCTTGCGGGGTACCACTGTACATCCTGAAGTGTAGCAGTCCATCAATTTTTTTCAATACCTATCTCAACTGACGCTTCTTCTAACCAGCAAATATATTTTTCCCTAAGAGAACTTGAGTTCATCAAGCGACAAGAGGCTGAAAGGAAAAAAATAGAAGATCTGGAGAAAGCCCACTTTGCAGAAGTTCAAGGTTTACAAGCTCGTGTAAGTAATTTTCAGTATTGTAGTTCGTGACTTTATTTTGGAAGTGTTGTTGCCGTTTAGGAGTAGGTGTGGCTGTAGGGATGTTCACACGTTGCATTCAGTGAGTGCACAATCTGTGTACCTCTGTACACAAATAGTTGACAGCTGTACACATGTATAGTTATTCACATGTAAGGTTAAAGTAGTGTACAGCCTGTCTGCCTATGTGAACAGTAGTTGAGCTGTTCAGATGAACAAGTGTCCACCAGATCAACAAGCCTGTTACAAATGTTTTAAATAAGCAGACAAAAATACTATACTGCATGGGGATTATCATTGCATTGCAACAGGGTAGCACAAAGCAACCCATGATATATAGTTTACCAATACATGGGTCGAGTACAGGCATAGGCAAACTCGTCCCCCCAGATGTTTTGGGACTACAACTCCCATCATCCCTGACCACTGGTCCTGTTAGCTAGGGATGATGGGAGTTGTAGTCCCAAAACATCTGGAGAGTCGAGTTTGCCTATGCTTGATATATTAACAGACCTAAATGTCAGTGCGGCACTAAATACATGCATGGTAGTGGTTCTGTTCATCTGATGAAGGGGAAGGTGTTTTTTTACCGTATTTTTCCATGCATAAGACGACCCCTATTGTTTTAAACCCAAAATTAAGAAAATGAAACCCTAAAACAAAAGTGGAAATCTGGATGATTGGTGGCAGCAAGTTGTTGATCTTTTTTGGGGCGGTTGCCCTCAAAGTTTCCAGCATCAGGTGCATGCAATGCCCCGTGGTGCAGAAGCAAAGGCAGTGACTGGGACACCACACACTCCCCCTCGGTGGCAGCTGCTGCTGCTGCGGGGAAGGAGGCTCTCAAGCAAGGTGCCAAGGAAAAGCCGGGGGAGGCAGCGGCCACTCTGTGCCGGACCATGCCATTGAGCAAACTGAGCTGAGGAAAGTGGTGAGTGGGCTGGGGGCAGGGTGGGAGTTTGAGAGGGGAAGAGGGGAAAAAGGAAAGATGGGCAAGGAGAGGTAGCTGAGACAGCTCTCAGTGGTGGTGGCAGCAGCTGCTCTTGATTCAGTGGTCGAGCCAGCGGGGGCTTCAGGAGATGGAGGGGGGAAAGGGGGGACGGCAGCAGGAGGGACTGCCTTAGCCCGCCCAAGCCAAAATCCTGGACATATGCTTAAATATTTTAAAAATTCCCCCAGATGCCATGTTCCGTGTACAAGACAACCCCCAATTTTTTACTATTTTTTATAGCAAAAAACCTCGTCTTATACACAGAAAAATCCGGTATTCTATTTATTTTGCTAACAGTTAACTTCATTTGTCCTAGATCAGAGAACTGGAAACAGAGGTTTTCAGGTTACTGAAGCAAAATGGGAGCCAAGTTAACAATAACAACAACATTTTTGAAAGGCAAACATCCCTTGCAGAAGTCTCAAGAGGCGACGCCATGGAAAACCTTGATGCAAAGCAAGTCTCTTGCCTGGATGCCTTAAGTCAAGGTTTGTTTGAGCCAGATGATAAGCTTGAGGACTGCGTTGTTTCTGTGTGACGTAGTTGTACTGACTTAAATGTTTTCGGAGTGGTCGCATTTGCACGAAGTGGTAAGCCGTATACCATGCTTTACTGTGTACAAGTCAGTTGTTCACCCTTTGCTCCTTCTCAGTTGTACTTGGGAGAAATAGGTCATGATCCCTTACGTAGTGTTAGTTCTGAACCAGGGACCATGGATTGTTTCACTCAAACCAACTATGGCTGGTAAGCCAAGGACAAACCTTGGCTTATCGTCATCCACTGGAGCCAACTCCAGGAGGCTGTGGGTTCTTTGGCACCCACAATAATATATTTGTGGGGCTGGGCCCCCACAAAGTCAGAGGGCAAAGCTGAAACCCGTCATTGCAGGCACCCACAATCTTTGGCATGAGATGGCACCTATGTCATCGCCATTTGTTTGGAGTGAATCAAAGCACAATCCCTGCTTCAGACATAATGCATTCAGACATGACACTAAGCCAGGGATTGTGGTTGGTAGGACTGGGGCGAAGCGAAGCAGTCACCAGTGACGTGAATATGGTGATGGTTGAAGGCTCTCTGTGACATAGAAATGTGGCCAGCGTAATGTACGATGTGGTGACCCATCTGTAATACTATCATACATAATTTCATAATGCCTGTAAAAGCACATGTATTCTGTTCAGTTATATTTTTATCCCCGTTCATTGTTGACATTGCTAATAAAAAGGTTAAGAATATAAATCTATATCTCCTCTTCTATATCCTATATCTGGGGTTTTTTATGTTGTGTACTTGAGAACAAAACATTTCAATTTTCAAAAGGGGTCTTTTATGTGCAAAAATAAACAAATCGTCTGTGTAAATGTATGAACATCTCTGTGTGTGTGTGTGTGTTGATAGATAAATATGTACAGTTTACATGTACAAACAAATGTATTTGGGCCAAAATAGATCAGTGTGCAGTCATCCAAGTACCAAAAGTAATGAGGACTGCCATTCTCTCCCCTAACATGTCATCACTAGCTTTCCCTTAGTCCCTTTCTCACACTGCTTTTCTCTGATCTGTCCTGGATATGGAACATGACCGAGGAAAAAACTCCGGCAGGAAGTAAGTCTCAGTGTGTGATTTTGGCAGATCCACACTTCAGCACACATCTGCCATCTTCACATGTGGACACGAACCCCCATATGTGTATGAGAACCTCCATTCATCATAGGAGCAGCGTATCTGCTTGTATGGCCCTTTGCTGGTTATGCATAGGCTTTCGACTGTGGCTGTACCTTAATATTTTCTTTTAGCGAATGTCCTTGGTGTGTAGGTTTTTAAAGAGAGGAAATAAGAACAGAATGTTGTGATGTTGAGGGTGTACACGAGTCTCTAGAACTGAGTGCTCTGATGTTCATTGCATATATAAGTCCATCATGACAACTGGAGTAGTAACAGAATTGTTACTGCTAACAGAATTGCAAATGTGTAATGGGACTCTTCATTAAAGGCCCTGGTTTTGAGGCCACTTCATGCATTGCACATAAGCACTTTCTACAAAGGAATCAATGTGAAACCTATGTGCAATGGTAGGCCCATCACATTTCATTGTCCATATACATTCTGGGAAAGCTTAATTTGCTATAGCATGCTATGGCATTTCCCCATGTACATAAGGGTGAACTATATTTGTGTAGACATGATCAGTGTCTACATGCTGTTTCCTACACAAAAAAGTGTTTTCCATGTCAAGTGAAGGTATTGCCCGCAACTCTTAGTTAAAATTCCATCGTATCTGTGTGATTGAACTGTCCTATGGATAGCTAGGGCCAAGCTTTTACTTAAACTTTTGATAGATGAAAAATAGGAATAGGGAGCCAGAGGCCAGAGGCCTTCCAAAGATTGGTGGACTCCCAAGTCCCATCAGCCCCAGCCCAGGAATTGTAGTTCAAGAATATCTAGATGGCCACAGGTTCCCCTTCTCCGTACGATGCAAAATGTTCAAAAAATAGCTGTTGGAGACCATCTATCAGGCTGTAATGCTTTTTTGAGAAATAGTGGCATAGAATAAGGGAGTATTTTCTTAGCCTATGGCAACTCCGTAGGGCGTTCAGAGTCATGAGACCATTGTGCAATGCAGGCAAGAAGCAGCTGTTACAAGAAATGTTAAGCATTTGACTAGGAGCAGGAAGTATCTCATTGCTCCTTAAGAAATATACACTTTATTTAGATGCGTGTTAGAAACTGCTAGTTGGTCTCTCCATTTCTCCCCTTCCAAGGAAATGATAATAAATATCCTCCTCTGATGTTTCAGAGTGTGGTAATGCAAGATGGTGGGAGTCCTCATGGACAGTATTATGCTCTAAATGCATGGTTTATTCCTATTTCAAAGATGGAATGAATTGCTTGATGGTGAAGTCTTACAGCCTGTGTGTGTGTAGTGAAGAGAGAATCCTAGATTCCTGTAAAATCGCAAAAGCTTTCAACAGTTATACCAATAACTGAATGTGGCCTCTGCCCAATGTGATGACAAGTTAGGCAATGGAGGCAGATTTTGATTCTAGTCTGAATAGCTCAGTTTGGAACCTGGGTCTTGTTGCTGCCCCATGCCACTTCCCTGGGGCCCCTCTTAACATTGCCACTGCCATTTTCTATTCTATAACACCATTTTAGAAGAGGCGGCATACATGCTATGATTAATGCTATAATCCTCTGTCCATAACCTGCTGGCTTGAAAGCCTTGCCGTGTTTGTTTTCTTAAAGCAACTTTTAAAAAAAGAAAGTACCATGCACATAAATGTGGTGCTTTTAAAATGTCAGTAGCAATGCAGTTAATTCTGTAGTTTCAAATTTCTTAGGAAAGCTTTTGAGAGAATGCCACCATGTATCATGTTACTATTTACTTTGCGGGTTAGTTATAAAACTTCCTCCTTTGTCACCCTTCTGTTTGGCACATTACTCTGAGCGTATTGCACGGAAAATAGACTTCATAGATGCGTAACCCTGAAGAAAGAAGGTAGGAGTAAAGAATTAGTTTAGGCTGCAATCCAAAAGGGTTCACGTATAACCAACATTTTTGGGTAAAAACAACAACAACAACAACAACCCTGAATTACTGTTTGTTTTGATGCAGCCAGACTTCTGTCTTAACTCCTGTACATTCACAAAGTATTTTTCGGAGTCAGGAAGATAAACACTATGTGTGCTGTGTTGGAGAAGAGACCACAGCTCAGTGGCAGAGCATCTTGGCACCTGGACACGCAATGCACCCTGGAGAACCACTACTGAGCTGGGTAGCTTCCTGTGACTGCCCTAATTGCAAAGTCCCCAAGCTGCTCTTTGAACCTGAGATGGTTTATTAAAGCTCAATTGGAGTGGCAAGAGGGACAATTTTTCTAGAGGAGGATCAAGTCTGTGAACACACCCCAATATATATTGCTGATTTTCACCTGACTTCTTCCCCTCCGCCCCATTGGGTTGTTGCTGTTCTCTTTATATTAATATTCTGAAATATTCACTTGGCAAAATAAGTTAATTCCTGTTAACCTATTGCGTTTGTTCCTGAATCCTCTCTTGACTATAAATAATTGCTTCAGCATAATTGCATTCAGGAGTTAATTCTCTCCTGCCCCTCCTTTTAAATTGAAATCCTCTCTAAGTACTCTTTGTGAGGCATTAAGGCTATTATTGTTTCAAACACCTTATGAAGATCTTTTGGACTTAGGTAACCATAGTGACACAAAAGGGTACATGCTGATTCCATTTGCGCAATCAGCAGCAAAAGTCTCAGCTGACTCTGTCAAAACCATGTTTATGCCGATCGGGTCCCATCTTGCCTGTGTACTTACTTACTTTGAATACTTTGGCTTCACCTAATGGATCAGGTGTTTTTTTTAATATGGGGGGGGGGAACCAGTATTGGTTATATAAGCCTATTTGCAGCTGCTTCTCATAGGATATAATTACATATGTACTTCTATTACAAACTGAGGGGCAAGCTAGACATGATATCAATTGCAAGATCACAATTAACATGCTTGATTTTTAACATTTAAATAGCAACCAAAGGATGCACGTGATCAGGACTCCAATTTGTGAGGAGGTTAACCCTCTCCCTGCACACACATGTGAACTGTAATACATTTGAAAACCACACCCTCCTCCTAAAGCAGCTATTTGCACTTAGAGGGGAAGCTTCCATTGGCAGGACTACAGAGTACGGCAAAGGATTAACAGACATCCCTACACACTGTTGTACAAATCTTGATCTCCTCCCCACTATTATTTTTTTTAACAACTAGGTACAAATTTATATGAATGAAGTTGTTGTGACTTCTCTCATGGAATGCTGGGAAGTGTGTTTTGGTGATGATTCTGCAAATTCTCTGAAAATATCCTAATACAGTGTACTTTGATCTCCAGATGTTTTATCCAGGCATAATTCCAGGCGAGGGATTATGGGAGCTATGATCCAATAAAACCTAGGGACCAAAGTTCGAGAAACACTCAGTATTCCCTCACAGATCTACAGCTCCCAGGGTTCTTTATTTTTCCGTCGGTCATCATTGAGAAGGTGGCTTGAGGTGTTTTGGCACCTGGGGCAAAATGCCCCACTGCTGCCCCCGTGATGGGAGCGGGGCATGAGGCTCTGTAAGGGCTTCCCCTCAAGAAGCCCTTGCAAGGCCTTGCCACCCTGCTGGGTTGGGGCTGGGAGATTCAGCAAATGGTTCTTAAGGAGAAGCTTTCACCAAATCTCTTCCTTCCCACCCAGAGACAAGGCTCTGCAAGGGCTTTGCACAGTTTTGGAATATACAAAAATTTATAGCTCCCAAGTTAACAAAGAAAGTGACCGTGGTAATCTCCAAAGGAAATAAACAAGCAAATTAACTTAATAACCATGACAAGGAAAAGGTCTAAAATCACTAGACAATATAAACAATTAGTGGATATTTTTTTCAATTATCAAAATAGGTGCCTAATGTAAGGTAAAACAATATTTGTCTTCATGCGGCCAGGACCAAAGCGGAACAGAACATCATTTGCCAGTTCCAAATCAGCAGCTGCATTTTTAAAATCTGGTTCCATGTCCGAATGTAGGTCAGTGTTAGGGGTGCAGTTTGTGTGTCATATCCTCACCTCTTTAGCTATTACATCATATGCAGGTGTGTGAGCATAGATGGGATGGTACTGTGGCTCTTGAGTGTTTATAGTTTTAAGAACCAAGGGTTGCTTACAGTTCTTCTTTAAGCATGAATCTTCTCAGCTCCGACTTCTGTTTTCATATGTACTACAGTGGTGCCTCGCAAGATGAAAAGAATCCGTTCCGCGATTCTCTTCGTCTTGCAGTTTTTTCGTCTTGCGAAGCAAGCCCATTAGCGGCTTAGCGCTATTAGCGGCTTAGCGGGCTTAGCGGATCAGCTGATTAGCGGCTTAGCGGATCAGCTGTTAAGCGGCTTAGCGATCAGCTGATAAGCGGCTTAGCGGCTTGGGAAAAAGGGGGGGGGAGGAAAAAAACCCTGCAGGAACTCGCAAGACATTTTCGTCTTGCAAAGCAAGCCCATAGGAAATTCGTTTTGCGAAGCACCTCCAAAACGGAAAACCCTTTCGTCTAGCGGGTTTTCCGTCTTGCGAGGCATTCGTCTTGCGGGGCACCACTGTATCTTAAGTAGAGTCATACCGGCAAGGTAGCTGCCTTAAACCACCACACTTCAGTGGCTGAACTAAACTGCCCATCAACTAGCTGTACTTTATAATACAATGGTTTGCTCTTTCGCTTTCCATGGGTCCTGCTGAGGCTTCAGCATCTTCTAGTGCTCTCATTTCCATGCAGCAGCTCCAAGGTTGTACACAATCTGATGACAACAAAGGGACAATGGTTTCCACTGAAACAAGGGCATGACATTTTGATCAGCATGTATGAAAATACAGCGTGATTTGTATAGAATTGCAGACTGTATCTCCAGATAGTGGCATGTTTAAATGCAGGTCGTGATATTCTGTTCTCTCTCTCTCTCTCAAGATTTTAATGAAGCAGTTCCCGAGACAGAAAGGCTGGACTCAAAAGCACTGAAGACTCGAGTTCAGCTTTCAGTGAAGAACAAAAGGTCAAGACCAACTAGAACAAGACTGTATGACAGTATCAGCTCCACAGACGGAGAGGACAGTCTTGAAAGAAAGGTGATTCTTCTCTCCCCTTCCCAACCTTCTCATCAGTTGTTTCCTTTCACCATGCTCCCTCCCTGGCGGTGTTTACTAATTTGTGATGAAAATGTACAATGAAAGAAGGTATTTCTTCTCCCAATTTGAAGGTAAAACACCTGTGTTCTTTCAGCAGTTTCAAGACTTCTGATTTAATTTTACACGCATTCTGATGTGCTGTCTTTCATTATTTCCTCCCCCCCCAATATGTTATTAATTCTTTTTATTCAAACCCAACTGAGTTAATGCTTAGCAGGTAATTTTATTTAGATTCAGAGAGCTTGAAATGCTAATCCTTGCAGAGGAAATGGTTACACATGGAAAGCAGATAAAGTAAAAGCTTAACGGTGCAAAATTATCGGAATAGTGCTCCAAAAGGAGACACGGGATGGAAAGCAGGGGCCAAAGAGGTGAACCTGCGCTTTCAAAGTAACTCGCTGTGTGGTTGGTTCCTGAAATGCCATAACCTGCTTCACAATCTCTTATATCAACAGCCTTCGCGCAGTTACGGTAGTCCCATGCACATTACCAAATCACCTCTGCCTATGTGTATGAGAGCCTCCTCACCAGCATCAGATTCTGGTGCTTCCTCCCTTTCCCCCGTGGCTAGCAGTGCAACGTTTGCATTTGACAACGTAACTGGAAACCAGGACGAAGTGTGGCCGTACACGAGTGTTGTATGTTCCCATGGAGATACTCCACTCTCCTCACCTTCAAAATCCTGTCTGAGCTACGAAGCTTCGCCTGTGCATCATCCAACCAGCAGGAGTATCTTCCATGATGAAGGTATAGCTGTGATTTTGCATGCTGCTGCGTCAGTTTTCTCGCTATTATGTAATGAGTTCAGTTGTCGGTGGTTGTGTCCTTCTGTCGCCTCCCAGAGAGGGTCACCTGGCTCCCCACACTACGGTCTCTTAGGTACCAGGCGAATACATTTTTGTTCTCGCAGGCCTTTTAAACATGTCGGTGTTCATAGATATTTGCTAGCAGTTTTATGTTGATTTTAAGTTGATTTTAAGTTGCTGTCTTTGTGTTGCTTTTACTTGTCTTTTATTTATTTGTAATAGGTTTAAGGGGTCAAATATTGTACTTTAGTTTGCATTTTTAGTTATCTGTAAACCACCCAGAGAACTCAGTTACATGGGTGGTAGATAAATGTAATTTTAAAAAATGGTCATAAATTAAATGGTCCAACAAAACATTTTATGCACTTCCCTAATTAGAAAGTCTGGTTTTCTCCTCTTTGTCATTCTGAGCTTTTAAACCATTTAGTTAAAACCATTGCTTTTTTCTAAGGCTGATTTTGCAATGAGGGAGTTGGGAGATACAATTAGAATATGTCTCAGTTATTTTAAACATCTGCAGAATTGTATGAAGTACAGTCTTTGCCTTAAATCAAGGGCACACAATTTAGTTTGGGGAGAACTTATTTTAGATTTGTTCTGAAACCTTGCAAAGTGTTTTAAGTACAATGTCAGGAATTCACATTCTCTGAGAGAAGGTCCAGTGCTTTTGTATCTAATTGTGGTTGATGTTTCAGAGATGGATTGAATCGATGTATTGCACTTCAGAAGTGAAGGTGGTAGAAAAGCTTGTGTTTTAGTTTGTCTGCCATCTTCATGGAAAAATACATAGCTCAAGAAAATTTTTGCACATACACAGCTCTCAAAGTATGATCAAGAACATAGGGAATTGCCTTATGCCAGGCTGACAAAAACTGGTGGATTGTGACACCACCCACTCTCTGAATTGTGTGAATTGGGGCCTCAGTCTGTGGGGGGTTGTAGTATAAATATAGAGTCTTGAAATCAATTATTGTTCTTCCTTTGTATTCATCATCTCCTTTGTTCCTAAAAACTCACATATGCAATAAGAATTGCTCTCAGTGACCCCACTCAAGCAAGAATCACTTAATAATGATTATTCCTCAATAATGTTTAATCACTGGAGAATCCCATGTTTTTCCCACCAGGAGTGTTATACAAGCAGCATTAAGTGTAAAAGCATATTTTAATGAATATGTTAGAATCAAAGTGAAACCATTTGCTTCAGCATAGAAATATTTGAATGTAATAAGACCTCTTTTGCAAGTGTTTCTAATTGGGGCACAGCAATTCTGTGCTCCAGTAGGATTTGATAATTTGAAAGTTTTCCCCTCCTTTTCTTTTACAATACAATGCAAGAGATGTGGGGGGTCATTTTCAGCCCCTGGGGGCCTCATTTCCCCTTAGGCAGTCTTCCAGGGACCATGGGCAACAGGTGTGACTTGCCTTCATGCAGAAGGCTGCAGGGCAGCCACGCACAAGCCCACGGTTTCTAGACAGGCAACTCCCCATTTACGTAGCAACGTGTGTTTAAGTGAAATCGCATATATTTGGAACACCATTGAAAAAGCCGGCAAACTTCTAAACCTCTGGAAACCCTTTAAAAACCTTTGAAAAAACCAAAAATCCATCGAACTCCACCACAATTGTTCTCTCCAAACCTCCTTGCTCAAACTCCCAACTCTCTGTAGGCCTCAAAGGTTGGTACAAAGGCTCCTGCAATTGCACTTTCAAAGGTTTGTGGGATTCCTGGGTGCTGTTTTGTGCCATTTTTGTGCTCTTTTAGGGGCGTTTTTGCCCCTTTTCTGTGCCACTTCTGTGTTCGTGGTGATGCACAGCCGTTCATACCTTGAACGCGCCTAAGTGGGGCCTTGCCTGTACTTGCATCTCTCCAACCAGGCAAGCGAGAGTACTGTTCTTGGGCATGTTCCACTGTTCAAGGACACATTCAGCCAGGCAGAGGGCAGAAGGCTGTGGCCTAGGGACAGTGGGGCACAACTGGGGAGAGTCCTGTGAGCCAGCTAGAGAGGCCTGAGGGGCTCCTTTTGGCACTTGGGCCTGCTAGCAGAGATGTTACACTTTTGATGTCAATCTCCTACTCAGTAAATTCAGCACAAGACTGTTTCAACTCCAAGCCCTTTCCTAGCAGTCTAATGTAACCCCAAGGCCCCCTAACAGTCACAGAGCTATCAGATGTATTAACCCCATTAGGCGTGTGGCATCTTGCCAGAAGGGGACATTTGCAGTCCATCTTCCTTCTCTCTCAAACACATGGGCGCATGATTCTCTGCATCCCCTCTGTTGTTTTAAAATACCTTTTTGTTACATTCCCCTAGATTTATATAGTTTGCTTGCTCTTGTTAACACTGGAAGTTTGCCCTTCGTGATTTAAAAGCCTTTCTGCATTTCTCACCCCAGGGGAGGTTTCAAAGTGCACTATAAAAATAGCAGTACATTTGTAATAGCGCAAATACACCTTCTGACCAGGATCCAAGGAGCCCTTTTAGGCGCATGCAAAGTCTTGCTTGCACAGCAGGCTTTTCGCTTCTTTGTTTCTGGAAAGCAGCTGCTCACTGCATCAAAGGGTGTTTTTGAGGCTTCCACAGCATTCAGGGCTGGCTTGTTGGGTGGCAGGTTTGCTGTTGGGGAGGAAGGGACTTTGAAGCCCATGTGTTGCTATGGAGTATTGCAGCTCTTTGGGTCCTGGCTTGCATGTCTGTATGCAAACATGCTCATTTCCTCCCATCTCTTCCTGATAAAATTACCAGTACCATCTATCGCAGCTGGGTTACTATGCTTAGAGCTGCAAAGAGATGGTATACAGAAACAGAGCTTCTCTCTACATTAAAAAAAGAAAGAAAGAAACATGGGCCTGGGTCCTGAATTTTACATTAGCAGCATCAATACTAATTAGCCATTGTAGTAGATATCACTGAAATGTGTCTTAATCTTTCTGTCTTTTCTTGTATTTTTCAATGTTATGCAGGCACACATTATCACTGCACATAGTATTCCCTTTTACCCCAGTTTTCTTTGGACTTTTAATTACTTACGAAGTGTAAGCTTTTGTATGTATATAAGTACATGATAAATTAGCAAGTTATCCACAGCCCTTTTGTTGGGATTGAATGGTGGCAAATAGGCAAGTAAGCTACATGAAGAATTTGAGACGTAGTTGAGATTTTTCTAGTGATTGTGCAAAAACAAGAACTGATTGTTGCCCAGGCTTATGATCTAAAGAATCTACTACGAGTAAAGAGGGAAGATTCTTTAAAATGTTTTCACTACAACAGTTCCCACTGCCTAAGAAGCAAGCCACAGTTCAGTTTAACAAGCTGCTTGTCTCTTCAGCTGTTAAACGTCAGCAAAGGTTTTGACCGAACCTGCTGACCCCCTCTGTGTGCAAAAACAGCATTTTAGATTACAGCAAAGGTCTTTCCTAGCAGGCATATGGTCCATACATTTACGGTCAACGTTTTGCCTTGTTTGAATAATAAATGTTCGACTTGTGATGATTTTGGGGGGTTGTGTGTGTGTGTGTGTGTACTTGAATTTTTCTGGATGCAAAAACAAAGTGCTGTTTTAATGGTAAAACACAAATGGCTATAATGAACTGTGGTTTTTTTTAATGTACAAATATGTCCTAGATGGTGCCACAGGTATACAATCCCCAAGAACATCCAGCCCTTCTACGGGGCATATAAGGACAATAAAACAAAAGTTTGTGGACTTGGGGTAAGCATTGATTTCTCATTAACGAAGATTAAAACCTTTTTTAAAATAAATAAATAAATGGTGTACTACCTTTTGGACACTCTTTTGACTCTTTTAACATTGTAGGGCTCCCTTGAGAAGGAGTTCTAACAAAGGCAAGAAGAGGAGAGAGAAGGAAGCAGTTAGGGTCTCTACTGGCTGCAGGTATGAGTGAATAGCATGGGTATAACCAATTTCAGGCTCAAATAAGTCCTACTGTGTTGAGTGGAACTGTCTTGCTCATAAGTGTGCGTTGGATTGCAGTCTTACTGTCTTCCAGCCTTCAAGCTGTGTAATTTACACGAGCCCCATATAGAGAGCACTGCAAAAGTCCAGACTAGTTGTAACCAAGGCATCAACAATAAAGGCTAGAGCTGCTCTCTCCCCCCCCCCCCATGCTACAGTTGCAGCCACCATACTATCTGGCTGGTGAAAAAAGAAAGTGCTACATCTCTTGCAACATCTTACTTCATAGTAGCTTTTGTTAATTTGTTTAGGACTACCAAAATAGCCTGAAGAACAGTTAATATTTCAGGCAATTGTTGAATAGCATAAAATTATTATTCTTTGCTGTATAGTTGATGGTAGGTTTTTACTACTTTGTGCTGCCTCATAAGATGTACTGCATGTGTTCCAGTTACAGGTAGGTAGCCGTGTTGGTCTGCCATAGTCGAATCAAAACAAAATAAATAAAATGAAAAATAAAAAAATTCCTTCCAGTAGCACTTTAGAGACCAACTAAGTTAGTTATTGGTATGAGCTTTCGTGTGCATGCACACTTCTTCCTTTACTCTTTTTTTGTCTGCGGCGACTTTATAGTTTTTAAATGTCTAATCTATGTGCATTACTACCTTGTGTTAAACAGGACAACTAAGGAGCTGCTGGAGTGCTCAGCAAGTAGAGTGTCTTTAATCAAGCGGTCCTCCTCTCTCCCACATAGTCCCATTCCATTTGCATGGTATGGAGAGAGCAGCAGGAGATCCAATTCTTCCAGCAATCTGCCTTCACCTACCAGCTCAACTGATCCTTCCTCTGAAAATCTAAGTCCAGCTAAAAAGGGGTCCAAGGTAGAAAATGCAAAGTACCTCCTCCCCAGTGCATGGAGTGGCTTAAGCGAGGTTGCTATCACTGGCTTAACGCTAAGGATCTGCGTTATAGTAACTGCAAGCAACGTGTTCGTTGTTCAGCAAAAATGTGATATGAGCATTCCAGGTTGTCTTCTGTGTCTCTTCAATGAATGTTATCAGAGTAATTTATATGCTAGTGTCAAACTGCCAAGCTCAACGTGGGCTTGATGCCAGCATATATAGCTGGACAGTCTTTGTTCGGACTTTTAAATGAACTTGCTTAATTTGTAGATGTGTAGGGGGGCGGGAACCATGGCAGGTAACAGCTGCAGCTCTTTGGCCTCTTTGGATGAAAATGAACCCATGGGAATCATAAGCATGAAAGAAAGGAAAGAGGGAATGTTCAACATGTAGTGTTCGAAATTGCTAAGGGGGGCAAGACGGAACAGGAGGACCCACTGCCCTGTTAAAAGCCTATCACTGTATTTGCAAACCCAAATTGTAGGGGATACCCTCTTCTTTCCCAAAGCTTCTGTTCCATAAAATTATATTGAAGCTTTTTCATAATACAATACAATAAAAAAACAAACTATTCTAAATGAAAACAAAAAGGAAAGAGAGAGACTTCCATGTTCCAGATCATGGTTTGAAGGCACATGATGCTGCAATCTTGCAGGAATTAAGCAGAAATTAAGCTTGTGCAAAGAACCCTCTCCTCCTGTAATATCCAGAAACTGTTGATTGGCATGGCCTCATTGCTCCAACATCCATTTTGCTTAAAAATAAATAAATCCTGCATTTTTTATTTTGTTTTATTTTTGCAAGTTCTCACCTAAAGTGCAAGTAAGTATTTTGAGCCACACTGAAATATGTTGCTTTGACTACCGCATTGATTGTAGGGTCAGCTTTAACACATCCCACTGAAATATTGGCACATTTTAAACAAAATGTCACTGTTCCATCTCTTTATTACTTTGTCATTCCTGCTCCTTTCACCAGACAAGATGTTCCTGTCAAGCATCTTGGGTATTACGTTTAATTCCATTTTGAAGTTCTTCTGAACTAAGAAAAATTGAATTGTTTAAAATGAATGTTGGTCCTTTTTTCCTTTTAACGTGCTTGCATGTTGCTATTAGCATGGTAGCTTGCAAATAATAATTTTGTGCGGCAATGTTACATGCTCCACATATTAGTCGTCTTCATCTCTGCAGCATTCCTTGAGAATCCCTTTGACCAATATGAGGGTGAAAATGAAATTCAGATAGTTTGTGTGATTGTTGTGCTCTGAAAACATGCCTTGGTTGATGTGTAGCCAAGCTGAGACTGTCTCCAGTGCAAGATGCTGTCTGCCAGTCAGTGTGAGCAGCTTCCTATGTTATCCATTGAAACAAAACCATATTACACGTCTTCCATTCATATTAATAAGGTCTGCATAGGCCGGGTTTCACAGGTCTTTTATTGTTCTTTCCTGCACACTGCTTCTGTCCTTTGTAGAATGTGTGAACTGGACTTTTGTGTGTATGAACTGAACTTTTATGGGAGCAGCCCGACAGAACCGCCAAGTTGTAATTGCAACCAAAGAGTTCAGAACCACAGCAAAACCATTGCATATTTAGTCATCTGTGTCCAGTGGGGATGAATGCAGAAAGAACCTCATTTGAATAAAGCAGCATTTAAATGCATTTTAAAAAGGCAAAGAAGTATAAATAGCAGGTAAATGAAGTCACTGTCTTTTATGAAGCAAAAGAGGGGAAAGCTTAGTTCTGTAATTTGGCTATTTTCATCTCTTTGTGAAAAGCATTTTCAGATCTTGGTTTCACCGTTTTAGGGCATCACCTTTTACACAGTGACACACTTCTCTGTTATACACCATACAGCCCTTTTCAATTGAAACTGGTTAAATTACATGTTTGCTACAGCTCAGTGCTTAAATCAAAAGCATGGCCAGCATCACTACTTCTGCTGTGTGGCTTTAAAGAAGGGGAAGCCCTGCAGCAAAGATAAAATCCTGCTCAGCCACCATATTTACTGTACGTGTGCTTTCTGTCTGCTCTTGCCTTTTCCTTGCTTCCTGTTTCAGTGTTTCTCGACAAAAGTTATGCTTGAAAACTGAGAAGAGCTCCTCATTGAACTATCATGGTGGCAGCCTTTGCTTTTAACTCACTAGCTGTTAAGTAGGTGGTTACATAGCAAGTCCACGCGTTTCTGAAGCTACAGCTGTGTTCACCAGCCCTGCGTAAAGCAGCACTGTAGACAAGCCCCCGCAACTGATCGTGGTCTGTGCAGCGAGTCATAGCCACACTCCTGACCAGGGGTGCCAACTTGTCCCCCGCATTGAGGGTGTGCGGCCAAGTGACGTGTCATGTGACACTGTCCGGCATGTGCCAGGAGGGGGCAGGACGTGCAGAGGGCAATCTTTGCGCTTGCTCATTCCAGCTGCCGCCTGGCTCCTGGGCTGCCGGGCGGGAGCTGGGGCACACAGAGGGTGCCTGGCAGGGGGTGGCAGCCCCCTGCCCCATAATATGGGGGGAGTTGGTGCCCCCTCTGCCCCCTGTACCCGGCACACCTGCTCCTGACACCAGCATAGTTGTTGCTTACCTAGATGGGACTGGGGTGGGGATAAGGCTAATGAAAGTGAGACCATCCATCTGACACTACCGCCAGTGCATCCACATGCACCCACCACCTCAGCTCCATCCAGGTAAGGAGCAGCCAAGAGGACAGCTCCTTCCCAGCACAAAACCTCTCCATTCTTAAAAGCCTCCATGGAAAAGGACAAGCGTTGGACAAATGGCTCAAGGGCAGTGGCAGAGATATTTAGGAAAGGAATTACTGTTAAGGTCAGACTACGTTTGATCTTATTGTCTAACCTCCCCCCCCCCCTTCCATCCGTCCGTTCCCACCCACACTTTTACTCAAATTCAGCAGCAGGCAAAATCGCCAGTTTTCGTGGGAAATAATAGAGTCAGAGTGCTTAGTCACCCAAGCCATATTTCATGTAAATCTCTCCCTAGGAGCTGTTGCTAGGCCAGCAAGTCCAACAGATGTGGCTGTCAGGCTCAGAAAACACACCTGGGGTGATGTAAGGCAGTGGCGAGAGCAGGCACAGCATCTGAACCTTCCACCATCCCACTCCTTTGTAGGTCTGAAAACAGTGTGTGCGATAGAAAGGGGGCAGGGAGAGAGATTTTGGATCAGGAAAGCTGTTCAGGGAAAATCAGTTGAGCACCACAGCCACGATTGTGTGAGCAAATCGGCCCCTACCCCTCCCATTCTGCACGCCTGCATTATTTGACTAAATGAAAAAGTGTTGGGAGATCTTCATCATCTCTAGTTCAGCCCAAAGCCTGACATTGGAGGCTTCCAGGGCTACGAAATGAACAACTAAATTTCAGGGCATGCGCAGGAGGTTGTCTTCAAAGGAGCCTCCTGGAAAAACGTGTTTGTGGAAAAAAGTGTTGTGACTCAATGTTCTTTGTGTTTTACAAACATCACAAAATAAAGAAACTTGCCATAATGTGCAGCACTTACTGATGTAAACTAATGCTTAAAATTCTCATTTGTATTTTAGCAAGAAATATTATTCTTTATGTTTTTGGATTATGCTACAGCCAAAAGCTAAGTTTAATATATGAATGCTTTTCTGTTTCAGTTCCCCTTTTAAGTTTCACCTTCAAAACAGATTTGGGTTTATGTATGGTTGACATAGCCCATTGCTGGTTTTTAAGAGTATGTGGCTTGTTTGTTTTTAATAAACCTCAAAAGCTTCATGAGTATCTTGATTTTGGGGGTTTATCTGTCTGTCTGTCTGTTTGCTAGTTTTAACTGCATTGTTGCTGTTGTTTTTAGCCTGGCGTATGCCATTGCAGGATTCCTCTAATGGCAATTTGGATGGATTTTACCAAATGTACATATCACAAAGTGCTCTGTTGGGAATCACTCCTCGTTATTCGTCTTTGCTATAAAATGTGATGTGTTGTTCATTGCATTGATAAGGGGCAAAATGTCTGTTTTGTGTTCATTTTGATTGTTGAGCTATGCCTATCTTTCAGATAATCAGTGCGGTTGTCGCACAAAACATGGGGAACAGATTAAATTGTTTGATAATATACAAAGTTACCATCAGAAGGAAAGGAGCAATGACTCCATGAATCTCTTTGATGCTGATCGCAAGGTGGGGGGGGGACTTCCTTTCTGGTTAGGGACACACACACCCCTTACAAAAAGTTAATTGTATCTTGTGGTCAAATAACAGCCTATCCTAATGGGGAAATTCTGTATATCATGGAGATCAGAAATTTCTGAGGATTAGCATTTCCAGGCCTAGAGATCCTTCAGTGAATCCTGCATTTCTGCTGGGTCAGATTATTATTCCAAACCCATTTTACACCTCATTCCGTTTCATTTATTCTCAGGGTGAAATTGCAGTCCCCACTGGTAGACATCATTTTTCAGTTGCAGCTATTTCATTCCCCAGGAATGCCCTGGAATGGCACAGCTAAGGTGTTGGGGGTGGAGATGGCAGGCAGCAATGGGACTCCCTTGCAATCATTTACATTAAAAAGAGAGAATTCTCCCTGCTACTCCTGGTGGCTAGCCTGCTTCCAGCAACCCCCTTTAAAAAATAATCATCCACTCCCCCCCCCCCCATGCGCTAAGAAATCAATCTTTCGGCAGCCCATTTTCATGCACACACAAACCCAAATTCCAGCCAACAACTGTTCTCCGTCAAGAGCTTTCAGCTCAGCATTATCTACAACTGTAAGCCAGGTGTGCAGAAAGCTCTGTCTTCATCACTTGCAGATAATGACAATACATTTCATTTTTCAAGACATTGTAAAGAGGAACACTTTGAGTTTCCTTTCATACTCCGTGGTATGTGAATTATCACAACCATTCCTGAACTGTGCCTGCTCAGCAGGGTGAAGCCAGTTCATTTGGACATTTAGGCCTATTCTCCGCCATTTGACTGATGGGTTTGGTTTTCTTCTTTGTCTCCTTACAGAATTTCGCTTTCAATGACGACTTCAGTCCCAGCAGCACCAGTTCAGCTGATCTGAGCGGCTTAGGGACAGAACCAAAAACCCCAGGATTTTCACACTCCATAGCACTGTCATCTGATGAGGTATCCGTAGTAGGAAATAACTCCTGTGCTCCCTGTGGATTAGTTAATAGGCTAACAGCTCTTGGCTGAATTTAACTTTGCGGGGAAAATACTTTTTATGACTGCAGCTCACAATCAGAAACGCCACAGGATGTGTCTGTTGGTGGACTTGGAACAAAAAGTTCAGTGCACTCCTCAGAAATGTACAGGAAACAATGCCATTTGTTACGGCCTAATGCATTTTGAGTCAAAGACTAAATGTGAAAACTGCTTAGGACATCATATATCCTATAAAATCAAAGCCCTGTACATAAATTCAAGGCACAATACATAGTGTTAGTGCTGTCCTTTAAAGCCCCAAACAGCCTTGACCCTGTATACCTGAAGGAGCGTCTCCACCCCCATCATTCAGCCCGGACACTGAGGTCCAGCTCCAAGGGCCTTCTGGCAGTTCCCTCACTGCAAGAAATGAAGCTACAGGGACACTTCTCAGCAGTGTGCCTACCCTGTGGAATGCCCTCCCATCAGATGTCATAACTATGCAACTGAAGGCAGCCCTGTGTAGGGAAGTTTTTTAAGACTGATGTTTTATTATGTTTTTATATGTGTTGGAAGCCACCCAGAGTGGCTGAGGCAACCTAGTCACATGGGTGGGGTACTACTACTACTACTACTACTACTACTATATTAATATTAATAAGGCAGAAATCCAGCCAACTATATGAAATTGCAACTACATAAATGTAATCACACAGGGTTGTATGAAATGCAAGATCCATTGGAATTTTTTTTAAAAAATGGCTAATTTGGGGCCATTAATTTCAGTGGATCTACTGTAAATAAAATTTAGTTGGATCATATACACAGTCGTACCTTGGATCCCAAACGCCTTGTGAATCAAACGTTTTGGCTCCTGAACGCCACAAACCTGGAAGTGAGTGAGCTGATGTTAGAGTATCAGCTGCTGCAAGCCAAGTACAATTGAGTCTTTAGTGGGAAGCATGTTCAGCTGGGTGTTAAAGGGCAATCACTTTTCCTGCCTCTTCCATGCCCCATATGGATATTGGGCTAACCTATGGGTGGCTTCCTACTGCCAAGGATGGTCCAGGTTAGGAATTATAGCCTGGCACAATCAAGACCTCCAAGGTTAAATAGCACTGACCCCGGATGGTAACTTGTAACTTCTTGCCCTATTAACTCATGGGTTGGGGGAAATTCCAGATCTGTTGATCCCAGCAAAGGTATATAACTATAGGTCAGTTGAAGATTTCAGCTGCCAGAACCATCATGGCATCTCCCTCCTATGCTAAACAAATGGTTCACGCAAATCCCGCTTATTTGAATGCATGGGTAACTAATACTAGCTCAATTATATCTTAGAAAAAGACACATTTCTGTTAAATAGGGATTGTTGCCACATTGTTGTCCTCAGCCGGTTCCCAGTGATCCCCTATTTATTTGAACAGTTGTACACCTTCTGTATAACATAATGTGTTCTTTCCCATTTTCTTTATTGCTGACTCAGAGCTTGGATATGATTGATGACGAGGTGAGAATAATAATGAGATATTTTGCAGAGGGTTGTACTAAGAGGTATATAGCCATTTCTTTTCTTTCCCATTGGCACATTTGCTTTTGGGTAGCAGATTACGGGATCGAAGTGCATATCTGCCTCTCTTCCCTCACCCTCAAACCCTCCCAGCACAATGCTAATGCTTTGAAAACTTACTCTATTGTGTTAGGGCACAGTTTTAAAAGGCACAGTTAGATCCTGGGACATGAAGGCCTGATTTTCATGTCCAGATTGGCAGTAAGTATGGACCAGACAACAGAAAATTGCTTTTTCACACAACCTAAAATTAATGCGTGGAATTGGCTGCCATGAGATGGAGGAGTGATGGCCACTAGAGGGAGGAAGAGGATTTTACCTTTATATTCCACTTTTCCTTCAGGAAACTCAAAGTGGCACACAGGGTTCTCTCCCTCCCCATTTTATACTCACAGCAACCCTGTGAGATAGGTTAGGATGAGAGACTGTGACTGGCCCAGTGAGCGTCATGACTGAGTCGGGATTTGAACCCTGGTCTCCCAGGTCGCAGTCCTAACACTCTAACCTCTACAGCACGTTGGTTTATGCAAGGTTGTGGAGGGTAGAGTCTTATCTGTGGCTACAAGCAATGACAGCTGTATGCCACCTTCAGGTTCAAAGGCAGTTTGCCATGGAATACATCGGGTGATGAATATTACCTTCACACCCTGCTTTTGGACTTGCCAGTGGCACCATGTCGGCCACTGTGGGAAACTGGATGCTAAACTAAATGAGTCTTTGGTTTAATCCAGCATAAATTGTTCTTGTTTTGTGATTCATATTTGCATGGTTCCCTGGTCACTGTCTCATCTGAAGGGAAGCTGCCATTCTCAAATGCATGCAGTCCAACAGAGGAACTCTCAAGGCTGACGGGTGCTACTGACTTGTGCAATGTGGTGCTTTATTGAAATGTGCCCTCTCATGGCAACAGTTGGTATGTGCCACTTCTGGATGAGCTCTCTGATATGGTAAATACTATCTCCCAGCATGAGAAGGCCACATTCAAATGAAATCTTTGCCCTGCCATTTTTACTTGTCTCAAATCAGCACGTATCAACTTTGAGATGAAAGTAAAACAATAGTTGGTCCTTCCAGGACCAAAGGGGGCTTTTCCAGATGCTTGGGTTGTTCTCCAGACAGTGTGAAGCCACTGAAACATAGGCCAGGAGAACCCACTCACTTTGTCAGACAACAGTTTATCATCCCTATGTATTTCCACAGTCCCACTTCATTTTTAATACTTGTATCTGTCGCACTAGATGGGCTTTTTGAGTATGTGGACTCCCAACAAGCCAGTTTTGGTGGTCTTGCATATCAATAGGCACATCGGGTATTTGAGTACCATCAGAAAGTGTGCCACTATGATGCCTCTCTCATGAAACGATGATGCCACCTTCACACACCTGATCTTTGAAATATGCTCATTACAGATCCTTGACGATGGACAGTCTCCCAAGCACAGCCAGTCCCCAAATCGCGCCTTTCAGGAATGGAGTGTACAACAGGTTACCAACTGGCTAATGAGCCTGAATCTAGAACAGTATGTCCCTGAGTTCACTGCCCAAAATATAAACGGAGAGCGTCTCGTTCAGCTGGATGGCAGTAAGCTTAAGGTAATTGCCTCTCACTGTGGCAAACAAGATTCAGAATTCTGTTTGTACCCAAGGGATCTGTTAGTGGGAAATACTTGTCTTGGATGCCAAAAAATAAAATAAAAATATTCTTACTACTAACAAAGCCCACACTAGCAAGTAACAAATAATGGAAGCGGTGCAAGTTGCTGGAGATTTTGATTATGCTGCTGATATAATAACAGTTGGAACCCTGAATACATCATTATCTCTGAAAATAAAGCCCTGGGTGCACTGTACTCAGTGTTAAAAGTTAATGGGCAGTTTTCAATGTACCAAGCTTAACTTATTCTATATACCAAAAGTGTTCTTTTTTTTTTTTTAACTTGAAAAAGGACAGTGCTAGAGCACAAACAAAATGGCTTACGTGGCATGGATTATTGCATCTTTGGCCAAATTATTAGAGACTTTGGTTGTATCACATTTCACTTTGTGCCATGCTGACTAGGCAACTGCCTCTGCTTGCAGTGTTAATTTTGTACCATTAATGTAGGGAAATTACCAAGGAAATAGTCACAGGTCACTTTGAATCTAGAAAATGCAGTTGTAATAATATGTATTATTGTTGCTGTGTATTACACACACACACACACACACACACACACACACACACACACACACGTGAGTTCCATTTTCCATAAAAATAAATAGGCAGGCCCAGAAGGCAGCTTCTGGGGGCCCAGCAGGGCTCGCCAGGGCCAACACCTGCCCTTGTCCCTTCACGTTGGGCAGTTGAATCTGTGAGCCTCAACTTTAGTTTCCCACAATGCCCTGTAGTCAGACACCCCCAAGGCACTGTGGGAAATTAAAAACAATGGCTCCCGGATAACCCTTGGAATGCTGCCATCAACACCACTCTCAGGCAAGCTCAGGGAGACGCATCAACGTAAAAGAGGGCCCTAACCCATTTTGGCTAGGGCTTTCTTAAGTCTGTGGCCACCCCTGAAGGTATAGATATGTGTACATACATATACATACATTCATTCACTCCCCATGCAGCAGCATCAAAAGGCACTTGTAAATGTCAGCTTACCCACTACAACTGAAACCATACCTGGAAGCAAATCAAGAAGTAGCTCATTAAACACATTCTTGCTGGGCTTTGCAGCAGCTATTTGCGAGGGAGATGTCGTAGTTGTTATTCCCCCTCATGCTGCTCCTGCTAGTATTTTTGGAAAAGCAGTGATCAGCCTAAGGGATCGCTTCTGGCAACATCTGGCTTTTAGGCACCTGGAACCCTCACTTGGCAGGCCGTCACTCCAGAACAGCACAGTCGCAGTGGGAAAAGCAAGCGTTCAAAATGCACCTTTCATGGCCCGTACTCATTAGGTGAGAGCAGCTCACACATGCGGGACTAATTTAAACCAGTATTGCTGATGAGTAACTACTGGGAGGTTTTGTATAGGGACTGGTGCTCAGTTCAGGATATGCAAGGCTATAAGCAAAGGCAACGGGGGCTGCATTTATGGATACCGTTGCATTAATACTGTGGACTGAGGAAGCTTGCATGCAATCAAACATTGCACTAGTCCTTTTTTGTATGGAAGGCAGAAGACACTGGTGTGAGTTGGCTATCCCTCTTTTTGTCGAATGAGGGTGTCAAACTGTGAAAGAACACTGGGTTCTTCTCCACCCAACTTAAATGTTTAGAAGGTGCTACGAATTAAACCGTTGCTCTCTTTCTTTCCTTGCTATTAGGCCCTTGGCATGACATCTTCCCAAGACAGAGCTGTCATTAAAAAGAAAATTAAAGAAATGAGAGTGTCTATAGAGAAAGCTCGCAAAGCTCAAGAGAAGATGGAGAAGCAAAGGGAAAAACTTAGGAAGAAAGAAAAAGAGCAGTTTCAGAGGAAGCCCCGAAAGCCGGAGAAGCGCTCACCAGATCCAACAGAGGGAGCTAATGAGCAGTGATGAATAAGAGTTGATGATTATTCTATTAGGAACCGGGGAAGAGGCTTTCAGGGAAGAAACTCAAAAAGCGAGTCTTGTTTTCCTTCCCTACCTCCTTGTCTTCATTACACAGAGCTCTGTACTCATATCTGAGGCTTTAACTAGAATAAATAGGGGAAATGAACACTGTGTAGCTACACTTTCCTGCAGTTGGTGGACATGCTGGTACTTTTGACCTACTCGGCCGGCCGCAAGCCCTGACTGCACTTTGCATTTTCTCATAACTGGGCTGGCGAACCAAGTCTGGGCCAGCCTTCAGAGCCTTTCCCTTTCTCCATCCCCACTCCATCCTCTCAATTGCCCTTCTTTACATTGTGCTGGTTGTGTCTGGCCCCTTCCGTAAATCGGCACAGGACACGGTAGGCTGCAGCTTGCTGTACTGTAAACTTGAAGATTGCCTCCAGAAATGGGCAACACTTGAGAAGCTTTCACTGGACTTGTGAAAGGGAGCAAACTGGAATCGGCTGCCTATCAGTTATCCTTTGTTTTCACGGGAACAGCTGCCCCGCTTTGACACCTCAGTCCCCCAATTCTCTGAAGCGGGGCTCTGTTCGCAGCGATGCTCAGAGAGGTGATGCTGGCTTCATCCCTGCAGCCATGGTTTCAAGACTTGAAACAATACAGTGGAGATGACAGGCAGCAGAGTCTGTCTCATCAGAGAGGGAGGCAATCCTTTATTTTATTTTCCCCCTTTCCCTTGTGAACTCCACAGCAGTTTAGCCCAAGAAGGAAGCAGGGCCTTAACTTGCTAATATGAGAGCAGAGAGTAACATTTACCCTCTTAGCATGCGGGTGAGGCTAGGTTTCTAATACTAGGTTGGGGCTTGTGCTAGAACTTTGGAATACAGTTTTCCCTTTGTTTTCCTCGGGGTCGGGGTGTCCCTAGCTACTCTTTCCTGTAGCATGAGATTCCTTTTTTCAACTGATAGTGGACGGGAAACTCTTGTTTCTTTTCTAAGGAATATTCCCCACCCATTTTCAGCACAGAGTGGGGTGGGGGGCTGATGAGGGGCAAGGGGTGGATGGGAGCAAGTATGAGACTGGCTGGTTGCAGACCTGGGATTTGACCTGCTGAAATTGACCTGCAGAATGAACCCTAGTTAAGGCTAAAATGTGTACTTAAAGAGAGAGAGATGCCAATTAAGACAATGTGAGTTTCAAAATTAAATACTGTCCCGTTAGTAGAATGATGCAGTGGAGAAGAAAGCGAAAAGGAATCCCAGTATTTGCAATCGAGAGTTTTCAGTAAACGCTGGACAATAGCCTCATTTCCCTTTTGGAGCATTGCACAAATGCAGAGGGTCTGATTCCAGCCACCTGTTCTGTGGTTTATTCATTTTTGGTTAGCTCTTGGTGCTGCCTATTGCAGAACTAGGGACTAAGATTCAACAGGCAGAAAACTGGGCTCAAATGATGAATGCGATTAAAAGGATTCTGTTAATCATTTATATCATTTTAGCAGCCAGATTTACTTTAAAGCCTACCTGGGCTTCTCATTGGAGTGCTGCTAGCAAGTCCCATCCAGTCCAGGAGGGCACATTGTCGTTTCAGCCATGATAGTCTCTCCCCCCCCCCATTTTTCTCCTTGTGTACATGTGTCGCTGCATGTGGCTCATCTCTCTGATGGCTTTCTGCATCCCCACAAGCCCAGTGCAGTTTTTTTCCGATACAACATTTGAACTGAAAATCTGCAGCTAGAATAACAAATCTCTGCAGTCAAGGACACTGTTTTAGATATAGTGATGCTTTGGGGAGGTCAGCACACCCCGTATGACTGGAGAGAGGGCATATTTTCAGCACTGGAAAAAAAATGCTTCTCCTCAAGACGCAAATTCAACAGAAAACTCAGATGGAAATCTGGTCAGACTAGTGTTTTTTGGTTTATTTTAAGAGGTTAAAAGGTTTTGTTTAGATAAACAAAATTATCTGGGAGAAACTGGAGATGTACTATTTTTAGCTATGAATGCATTAAGGTTAAATGCATTAGATGCTCATTTTCTCTTTTAAGTTATGTTTACATGCTTGTAATTTAAACTGGATGTATATACTAGTAACATCTATGAGCACATTCCTCTGCTTTACATTATTTATATCCTCTCTTTTGTTTTTCTAAGATCCCTGGGGGACTATATTGCGTTGTATATTGATTTTTTGCATCCCTGCTGTTTAGGACCATGTAAATTGGGTTTTATCGCCGCAGATAACTACTTCTGATTTATATCCTGTAATTGTTCTCTTTCTTCGTTTATTGCTTGGTGGCAATTTGGGAGTCGAGCACTGAATTTTAATCTGATTTTTTTAAGAAAAAATGTGAAAGTGGTCAAAATGTAAAAGAAAAAAGACACTCCTAAATAACTACAGTTAAGAAAGAAATGTATAAAATGCAAATGGGGGGAGCATATTTGAAGCAGAACAGAGGAAGCAAGGGGACAGAGTTCTCCTCCTCATGGACACGAGGCTGTTTTTACTTGCTCCTCTTTGCTCCTCCTCCTGCTCCTCTTCTAAACATTTTTGAAATGTTCCTAAAAGTGTTTCCAATCTTTTATTTAAAACGAGACCAGGAGGGTATTTCCGATGTCATAGGAGTAGCGGTCCTGGAGTGAGCGTTGCTGGGGCTTGTTTCTCAACAGTTGTCAGTGCGGCAACCGCAGCTTCTTCCCTGCCTTGCCTTTCAAATGGTAAGAAAAGATGCACTGCGCAGACCTTGCCCTTTGCCACACGCCTAAGGAAGACACAGCTAGCCAACATGGACCAGGCATTGGCAAATACATGCTCAGCTGCCTGGGCTTCCCTTGTTTGCAGCCAAAGTGAGATGTGCTCCTAGGAACTGTAAGCCGCCTTTAGTGTTCAGATGACAGTCAAGAGCGTTTGGTCCACTCAGTATACTGGAACTGGAAAATGGAGCTCTTCTTCCTCCCCTTGTTATTAGCTCAGATTTTGCCAATCCTGAGCATCCCCCAGACCTGTAATAAAAGTACGCTGATCTCTGGAGCATACCCCAGAGCTGGGGGGTGGGGGTGTTGCACCAACATTTAGCCGTGTTTGACCCCAAAGTACGGGCTCTGCCTGAGTTCCTTCTCTTGCTTGTTCCGTTAGACGGCTCAGCCACAGCACAACGATTCAGCAGCTTCCCACCTGCTTCGTAACCACCAAGGCAGGCTGCTACATATTTTGGTTATAAGCACTTCCACAATTTATATTCTCCAGTAGGGTGGTGGTGTTAGCAGTAGGCAAAGTTAGGTGCTTAACCAAGTTCCCTGCATACTGAAGATTCCACCGCAGGAACGAGAGTTTGGGCATTGCCGGGGGGGGGGGGGTCCTGCAGGGGTAGGACCCACTCAGTTCATGCAGACCAAACTAGATCAGCAGAACCTGATAAAAAAACTGCTCTGCAGAGTTCCCAACCACTGCCTGGCCCCCTCCTGTGTTGTTCAGGTTACCTGCTTGCAGTCTGGGAAGAGGAAAGGCCCCTACAGAATATGTGGGAAATGAGGTAGCCTAAGGGCTTCATCCTGCCTGAAGTAGCTGGTGAAGCCATCGCCTGTCACATTGTTCCTGCACACCGGAGCCTTCATATCCGTGTGTATATATACCTCTGGGGCATAAGCATTGCTGGCCTGCACACATGCAGAAGGATCCCCCTTGGTGCAAAGTCTGTGATGGTTGGGCGGTAAGTCGCTTAAGAAGAGAGAAAAGGACCTTCCACTACTTTTCCTTTCATTGCACTAGTCTCGCATTTGGTTAAACAGGACTGTGAGACTAAAGACCCAAAGAGAGAAACAGGGGGGTCGCTACATAGCTAGGGTGTCTAGTTGTATGACACTTTGCACAGTTTGTTGACCTACGCGTTGAGAAAAAGCTCTTAAAAACAGGGTATGTAAGTTTTAGAAGGTCTTTCTTGAGTATAGAAAAGGGGTCAGAGGTGACGATGGGCGATAATCGTTTTGTTGCCATCGGGAGATTGCCCTTCCCTTTCTGCCTTCAGTGATAACATTCTTTTTTCTCTCTTAATTAATGCTTAGGATTCCTTTCTGCATTGCACTTGCAAGATGTTACCCAGCTCCTTGAAAGTCCCTCCCCTGCAGAAACATGATTTGTATGAATGCTTAACACCGAATGACCACCAAGTCAGACACGTAAACTGAGAGCCCTTTCCAGAACGTTGTCAGATGTAATTTAGAATTAGTGCCATTTATTTAACATTCAGACCAATATGTTTTCTGATATAGGAATAAATCCTCTTGGTTTCTCGTATTTATAACCATAGAAACAGTACTTAAACTGTGCCTCAGCAGGAGAAAGTGTGGATTTGTTTCTCTCTTCCTAAGTACAGAAAAACAACAACCCGTCAGCAAACTTGTTTCTTTGCGAAGAATGCTGGAAAGAAGAAAAAGAGATGTTTTCTCAAGACTGTGTTCATTTGCGTAGTTTGGAAGTTTCTACTCATTTAAGAAAATTTGTACGTAAACAGAAGGTATAGAGTTGATTTTTGACTTATTTTTCATTGAATCAAAATAGTGAAAGGTATTCAGCAAAACTGGAAGGTTTTCAGAGGTGAACTGTTTTGAAAACAGACTTGTGTGCGCCCATTTTTGCACACAAATATATGTGGCTCCGGAAGTTGGGCATGGAGCCTGAAACATATAGACAGCCCACAAGAGGGTGCTAGTCAAGCAAACCCCAAGGAAAATGACTCTTCGCCACAAGGCAGGAAAGAATTTGACTCTGGGCCCAACCTCTTGCATGTTGAGCAAGTGGAATGGTTGTCCATTAAAACATTTTATAGTTGAGGGACCACAAGATTTTAAACAGAACGTTTTCTTAAAGCTTCTATTTCCCAGTGTTTTCTCTGGATGTCTTTATGCATGTTGTTCTTTTGGCAGAATCAATTTAGTAGAGATTTGCTATTAAGAAGAAATCACTTCTTTTGGATATTTTGTAAACTGTATGCTTGAATTCTATTGGAAAGGTTTGAGTAGTTTTTCGCAGAGTGGGATTGTGACTTGGCCAATCAACACTTGCAATTGTCGAGTCATTCGCATATTTCACAGTCCCTTTGGGTTGATGGTTTCTCCTCCTTCCCTTTTATTTCCATTGCATTCCTCCGACACTGGAAAGATGGCGATTTATGCCGCTATTGACCTGGGCACAAGCAGAGTCATTCTCATAACTGGAAAAAGGAAAGTCGACCTTTGTAGGTTTTGAGTATAAGGTGCATGCATCTTATTTAGAATGTGAAGTTCTTCTTCTGCAAATAGTGGTTGCTTCTTTCATCTGGATGTTTGTGATGCACCACACCTCTCCACTTATTTTAGTGCACTTCAAATAGCCCTTTTTCTTAGTATCCTCATAACGCTGTGAAGGCAACATCAGAGGATGCAGAGGACGAGGGGGACACGGATGCTGGATCTCCCCCTCCTGGAAACTGGAGCACTTTTCTCATGGAGTTACAGAATGGTCTCCAGCTATTGACTGAGGCCAGGGATGGGGAAGCCTTCCAGTTACTGAACTACAGCTCCCATCATCCCTGACGACTGGATACACTGACTGGGGTTGATGGAAGTTGCATCTGGAGGGCCATAGGTTTTCCACCGCTGACTCAGACCTCTGATTTTATCTTCACAGTGCAGGAAGGAGCTCCCACACCCTACAGGGAAACGTTCACACCCTCTTCCTTGCACAACTACCAGTGAAACAAATGGCTTGAAGCAGCGGTGCTCAGTGAACGAGCCTTTGGTTGTAAAAAAGAAGTCATCTTTTATTTCAAAAGGCTGGGGTTAGCTTTGAATGGACATTGATGGAGCCTTGAGCTTATTGTAAACACCCCTAGCTGCACAGGGCCACAGCTAGCTAGGAAAAGGATAACTCAGAACTACTGAAGTAGACTCCAAAAGAAGAGCAAAAAAGCCAATGCCAGCAAAACCTCTAAATGGCAATGACCCCAGGAAAAACTTGCCCAACCAGAAATATTTTCCTTGCCAGTTTGTCACGTTAGCTCCTGCTTTTGTAAGGAGTTTTGCATTCATAACTGCAATACAAACCATTGTTGGCTTAGCTAGTGTTGCATCTGGCTAAAACAAGACAGCCCAAAGCCACCCTCAAGAAGTGCACTGTGCGACCCCATTGCTTTGAAACAGAGTGTTGGCTTGTCAGTCAAAGGGGAGGGGGAGGGGGAACTGTGTGTTGGGGAGGTGTTAATGTATGAATTGCATGTTATCCTGGTATTTTAGTTCATTTTTTAGTTTTGTACATCTAGGTGTCAAATCATCTGCATGGAAGATGCTGCTGCAATGCCCTGTCTCAGTTTGTATGCTTGTGCTTTCTTAATTTGTCCTTCTTTTTCAAAAGATTTAACTTCCCAGGAAAAAACAACATCTCTCTACGTTTAGTTACTTGGAGGCATTAAGATAAAAATAAGAACAAAGAAAAAAAAATCCAGTTGCCCTTCGTATTCTTACAGATTCTTTTTTTTAAAGAAAAAACTGTGATTAATTTGTTAGTGTATATAAACTTATTGCCAATGAGTATTGTTGTTAGACAACGAATGCAATAAATGAAATACTGAAACTCGGTGGAATTGCGTTTTGTCCTCACCAGCTCACTGCAGCTCTGGGGAAGGCTAGGCCCACAAGCATGGTGAAATTTGCATGCAGCAAAGAGGGAAAGGAAACCCAGAGTTCTGTCTTGGAAAGCACCCTGGGCCTCTTAGCATTAACCCTTAGCTGGCAGTAGAGCTTGATATACTTAATCTCAGTTGACCCTCACGGTCAACCTTCCAAACTACAATTCTATGAAATGAGTTCTACATCTGAGCCTCTGACCTTATGCAGGATTACACCCATGGAGAGGAAGAGGCCTCTGCTTTCACCTCAGACTCTTTGGAGTACTCAGAAGTTGACAAGTACATTTTGCTGGGGTTGAAAATTCCCACAGCTGCATAATAGTTTTCCTTCAAACGGGAAAGCTTTTCACAAGTTTGGAAAAAGGCACAAGGCTTAGGACTTCCTCAGTGGCATGAATGTTGTGCCGCTATGCGCTGTATCTGAGGCACTCAGCCAAATAAGTACCTAGGAAGGGCACAAAGCTCTTGAGAGCAAGCCTCCTTAAAACCAGATTCTTCAGCTGCCTTGACCAACCGACTCAAACCTGACTTTACAGTCCCTCACCCCAACTAAAAGGCTCTAAATGGCTCTAAATTTAGAATTTAATATTGCACTTACTTACCGGGCAACTTTAAACCAATTTCAAAGTAGCTGGGCAACAAATGTTCTTTAGGTCTGCCAAACAACCCCCATGCCTTATAAGCAAAACTGCCTCAGGGAAGCTTGGCTGAAATCAGCCCTGCCCAGCTGACTTAAAAGCTTAGCATGCAAGTAAAAAAGCAAGGCTGCAGCAAATACCTGAAGTGCCCTTCCGGCAAGACCAGAAGGTTTGAGGTAGGATTAAAGTGTTTGCATAGGCAGGTCCCACTACCCACACGCTCGCTATCCTAAAATCCGCTTATATGCATGTAAAGAATTATGCCAAAACCTTGCTATATGCTCCACAGATCCAGACAGCCAAACAGCCAACTTCTTTTGTTTGCGCTTTGCTGGTCAGTGGCAGCCATTTTCTAGTGGAAACCATGGAGAGAGTGGGAGAGCAAGATCAGACAAATCAGTAATCAGGATAGATCGGACAAATGGACCAACCCCACTTGGCTGCAGCCATTTCAAGAAGAAACCATGAAGAGGGGCAGGGGGAAGAAATCAGACAAATCAGACCGCATTAGAAGTATTTCCATAGGAAGTAGTGGAAATCATGGATTCATTATCCAAATGCTTGCCTAACAACGAGTTTCCACAGAACGCATTGTGTTTGGTAAGCGAGACCTGTGTGTACTTTCATTGTCCGCTAATCCTGTCAACGCTTACAAGTTTAAACTGGTTCTGTTGTCCTAGTTCCCTTAGAAATCCTGCTGGTTATAAGACTACGAAGGTGTTGACAAAGTGGCAAAGTTTCTTTCGGAAGTCAAAAGAAACAAAGATCATCAAACTCAAGACAAAACAAAATGACCGCCTCAGTTTCTCTCTTTTGTGGTTGGCTGTATTTTGTTCTGAAATTGTTCTATGGGTCTTTGGACCGCAATAAATATTTATTATTATTAGTTGGGGCAGTTGGACAGGCATTCCGTTTTGTTTCCAAATGCCTTGAAACTATCTCCCATCCTTAGAGCGCTACAGACAAAGACGCACTCAGGAACACATTTGAGTGTGTATTTTGATGCAATTGATCACATATAACTAGAGCTAAATCGGAGTGAAGATACAGCACTGGTGGGCAGTAAAAGCACCAGCATAAGGCAAGATGGAGAATATCAACTAGTTGCCTAGAGAAGGTGGGTGCATTCCCCCTTTCCTTTCCATTCTGACTAAGGGCACTCTGACAGCTTTCTTTGCTCTCCATACTATAATTATATGGCCAACTTTAATTGGCCGGTACATGATGCTAGGACATCCTCATTTCTCTATGTGACCCCCAATCAGCCGGAATACCATAGGGAACAGGTTTTCCAAAGTTTTCATTTAAAAATGGCACCGAAGCAGCAGCAAATCAAACAAGCAACGACTGAGGAGAGGCAGGAAAATCTCACAAAAGGAACAGCAGGGAAGGAAGTTGTGAAGACCTTTTGCCCCCTCCCCACATTATCAAATCTCCCAGCAAAGACTGAAGCCCATCAAAATTCAGTACCACTAAGAAGAGGCAATTACAGCTGCAGTTCAGAATATGTAACCATTTCATCAGTTCGGTTGAAAGCTGCCCAAATGACAAGGGAAGACTCCGTCAAAACTCAGGAAAGGAGGCGCTGTCTTAATATCTCCAAACGTTGCTCACAATGCCTCCCTGCAGTGAACCTTAACTCTTGATAGCTGTAGAAAATAGCCACAGTGACTTCAGAAAGGCCAGCAATGAAGACAATTCACTAGCAGATACAATCAAAATAAATAAATAAATATTTTAAAAAATTGTCCAGTAGCATCTTAGAGAACTAAGTTTGTTTGGGGGTATAAGCTTTCGTGTGCATGCACACTTCATCTGTATCTGAAGAAGTGTGCATGCACACAAAAGCTTATACCCAGAACAAACTTAGTTGGCCTCTAAGGTGCTACTGGACAATTAAAAAAAAAAATTATTTATTTCGATTGCATCAGATCAACATGGCTACCTACCTGAATAGTAGAAGCAGTAATTGGAAGACAACATTTTTAGCCTGTTACAGAATGTATTATCCTTCTAGCAATGCACTTGGAAACTGGGGAGAAAGCTATTTAAACAGAACAAGTTAGGATATGTTGATCGTCATGCAAAAACCATACTAGTAGGGTGGGAGGTTTGTTGTAGATATGGCCACATTATCAGGGATAGTGGAGCGGGGCATTTTTTAGCCCATGGGCAGCGTTCCGTAATGAGGGACCTTCCAGTGGTTATATGCCAATGGTGAGCAAGGCCAGAAGCAAGGAAGTGGATAGGGGCAGTGGCAAAAAAGCAGGTGGCAAAAAGGGGTCAGTGCAACCAATGTGCAATTCTACCAGTACAGCAGGCGACATTCCAGCCATTCAAATGCCAGCGGTGTCTGCATATGCTGAACCCACTTCTCCGTACAGGCAAGCAAGCAGCTGGACCACAGTTCAAGGACATATCACACATGGCAAAAGCATTTGAGGAGCCTGCCAAAGGGAGAAGCAGCAGGATCTGAAGGGCTGGGGGTGAAAGAGGCTTGGCTGGACGACGGACACATTTGGTCCATGGGCTTGAGGTTCCTGACCCCTGCCGTAGGGCGACGGGCAACCCAGTAGCTTCGAGATTGTCTTTCAGAGACTGCTGCGATTGCAGTTTTCATAGGATGCATTTGGCTGAGATCAGCACAACCCAAAAACGTTTGAAATGTTGTTTACTTACTTTATTAAGAAACCTAATTGACTTGATCTATACAGTTGAGCAATTCATTTGGCAGCCAACTTTTAAGTTAAAAATCAGCCTCTGCGATAAGAGTAGAACATACTGCAATATCCCTGCATTATACCCCTTGCATAAAGTTGATTGCATAGGTGACAGCTTGTTCTAGGCTCTCTGCCAGGTTATTGCCAGGCTACTGCTAATAAGGCGAGGAAGAACTTCTCCTTCTCACCTGCAAAAGGAAAGGAGAAAGGAAAAACCAACAGACTTCTACCCTCCGAAAGACATTACCCAGCTTCTTCTGCTGCTGTTTGATGACACAGATGATATCCGATGAGCAAACTGCCAGTGGGACAAACACTTTCTATACTTGTGAACTGTGATGTGAGCGAAAGCTGTGCTTTGGGGCTGAAAAGCTGGTGCTTGGGCAAGAACCCAAGAACAGAGATACAGTCAGACCACTGGGCCCATCTAGCTCAGTAGTGTGTACACTGAATGGCAGCAGCTCGCCATCGATTCAGAACTGGGAAATCTCCCATGCTTACCTGGAGATGCCAGCAATCAAACCTGGGTCATTTCGGGTGCAAAGCGTGTTCCTATCTCTGAGCTCACCTGCTTCTTCTCTCCAGATATATAGAAGAGGTTTGGGGACATTATCCCACAGCACTGCAGGGCAGTGGCATGGTGCTCTTTTCAGAAAAAGAGACTAGCCCTAATGCAGCTATGTGTCATGTGTGTCAGAATGCAGACTTTCACTTGCATATTCCTTGCCAGATGAGGAACAATTGCTGCTCTGCACATGGTTCCTCTCCTGGGTTGGGGAGGCACATGGAATTCTTGTTTTAAAATGCAGACTGTGCACCTATCAGATATTCAGAAAGAGGAGTGGGGAATGGATTTAGACCCATCTCCACTTCCTTTGGGGCAGCTGATAGGTGCAATTATTGCTCTTTTTAAAAGAGAGGGCGAGAGCAAGAGCTCTGTATCTATAGACGGAGTGGAATCAGATCCATCCCTCTTCATGTCACGTTTGAAGCAGGCATTAAATGTGCCTCTTCCTAGGAATGACAGAAAGGCATAATTGCTAAGTATAAAGATTTCCTTAACAGTGGAAAAGGTGATACAGGAAGAGGAGCAACTCGGCATGCATGAGGTCTCAAATGTCCTTGGGAACCTTTTAGATGAAAGCAAAATCCTCCAGCAGCAGCATCAATTAGTCATTAAGGATTATCTTTGATTCCCCCCAACCCACCAACAAATCACTCACTCCCACCAATAAAGTCATCAATGGTCATCCAGAAAATCGCAAATTAGCATCCATTTCTTTATGGATGCAGGCATTACTTGAGGTTCTCTGTTCAATTACACTGTCAAAAGGAGTCAACATAATCTTCCAATGTTGCTGCTTTTCTTTTCTAAAACGTATTTTTTCTTGTGTTACCTCCTTCTTGAAGTGGGTGGTGGGTGAGGAAGGCCAGGAACATTCTTGTCAACTTTTATTGCAAAGTGTTTTGAAGTTAGCCATTTGAGAACTGCATCTGGTAGGAAGCTTGGCTCAGATTAAGGCTGACCTTTTCCGCTGTGACAAAGTCCAGGATGAGCAAACTACAGTTCACAGCGAAGAGCTCTGTGAAACACGGTGCCGATAAGCAGCTGATTGTCGTACACGTTTGCAACTGAGCACCCCTGGATTACTGACCCGTCGTCGACATACACTTGGGTGACTACAGGCTTCTCAGAAAGGATGCCCTGGATACGTAGAACCTGAAAAATGGTGAAGATTAACATCAGCTAGTCTGACACATGCTATAAAATCTGTGCTAATGAGTCATGAGGCTGCCTTCTGTCACCACTTCAAAAATTCCACATTAACACAAGTTTGGTCTGAAAACTGTTCAAAATAAGTTTAAAGAGCTAAAAAGGTCCTCCTGTCAAATTTAAGGCAGAATCTTCTTGCTAAAGATGAATACCCTCTCATTCCAGAGTGGTTTACTGTCCCCCACCCCCACTGATGTTGGATTTCAACTCCAAACCAACACAGCCAATGGTCATCTACAAGGCCAAGGGTCCGTCACCCATGCTCTCATTTATGCTGGCTGAAAAGCTTCCACACAGTTTATCACACATCTTGCCAAAATAGTTCCTACTAACCTCTGAACCAGGAAGGTTTTCTGGATCATGGGAGATGAGTTTCATGCCATTGGGATGGCATCCCAGCCAAAGGTCTCCGGTGGAAGGATCGACTGATATGTTGTCAACTAGAGTGTCGACTGGCAATACCTGAAGCACACAGAAGAAACCACACAATGTGTAAGTAAAGCTTACAGCTGACATATGCAATGTTGAAAATTCATTCTTTTACCCATAGCTAGCATTGTTTGGCAGACAACACACTTAAAAAAATATTTTATTTATACATTTTAAAATGTACATCTCGCTTTTCACCATGCTTTTTCACCATGTCTCGAAGTGGCTTACAACAATAAGGTACGCAATATGCAAAATTTAAAACATAAATCTCCAAAATTTAAAACAGAAGGGGGAGGGGAGGGGGAGGAGTATAACACCTGAGAAGCATTCAGGTTGCAAAGGCTTCACTAAAGATAACAAACAGATGAGTATGCATGCACAGACATTCTAAACACAAAATACTATCAATGGGGGTGTGTGTGGAGAACAGCCTAAAATCCATGGTTTGTTACAGATATTCAGCATACCTGCATTAGGCTCATTTCTAAACTGGCCATGGCTTACCTTCAGAGGAGTTAAACTCAAATTCTCATGCTTTTCAAAGATGTGAATGCTTAGACCAAACAAGTCAGCAACATAGACGTACCTTGAAATGAAATGAAATTGGTGAAAGTCTCTTTCATGCCTTTTTAGTTACAGGTAAGGAAATAACTTTGGCTTGGAACACAATGAAATATTTCATGAATGCAATTGTAAGAGGAGCTCAAAACAGATGGCCATGGTAATTTACAGTGCCAGGTTTTTTTTGGGGGGTGGAGATACTAATTTGTGTAATCCTTCCTTCCTCTGGGACAGTCCTAAAATAGAAATAAGTTTACTTATGGCAGGGGTGGGGAATCTGTGGCCTTCCAGATGCTGATGAACTACTCCCAGCTTCTACCAGCCCTGAACATTGGCCATGTTGGCTGGGCTGGTGGAAGTCCAAGAACATCTGGAAGGCCACAGATTCTCCACCCTTGCCTTGTGGTAACTGATCCTAGAGATTCACCCCTAGGTTGAGGGAGGCAAGCACAGGCAACATTGGGGAATGCTCCAGTTGGACTCTCCCTTCCCTGATTCAATTTTACATGCTATATAATCTGTTTTAATACTTTAAGATTGCAAACCGCTTTGGGTGTCTTTGCAGAAAGGCGGTATATAAATGCAATGGATAACTAAATAAATGGGATGTTACCTAAGTGTTCCTCAAAATAGCAAGGAAACCAAAGATCTTGAAGAACCACCAGACGGTTCTCCCTATATTCATCCTTGCTAACCCATCTCAATTGGAGAGCATGCTCTCAAACAACGGTATTCTAGATTGGAACAGTATTGTGGGCTCATGCACTCTGCATGCCAAACTATGGTTTGCACAAACAAACCATTCAGGCGCAACAGCGTTTGATTTGCTGAGATGGGGAAGGAGAAGGGGCTGCTCTGGTGCAAGGCTAGTTCATGCAAACAGGGAAATGTACACTTAGTACATTTGGGGGGGTTGGGGGTGAGGGGATCCACTATCAATTATCTCAGAAATAGTTATTTTATTTCTCTGACCTAAATAATAGAAGTATGTGAGTGGGGTGGGGAGAAGAGTCCTTATCATTCACACATTGCTCACACATTGATTTAGCACATTTAAAAGTTAATCCATCACTTCATTTTCACGTTAAGGTTGATGTCAAGTATGACACTAGCACTTTAGTTATTACATTTCAGGAAAACAAACACCACATTAGTTTAGCAAGCAGGGCTAGCAACTACAAAACAGTCGTGTGCCCATCAGATTTCTTTTTTAAAAAGAAGCATCTGTTTGGAAAAGAAGCAGAAAGTGTCAGTACTTTAATGTCAACAAGAACCAACCCACACGCTGCTGCTTGACGCTGTTCTAAAAACAGCTCTGGAAAACGCAATGGACAAATGGAGGATGTTATGTACTAACCTTGGATCCTAGAACAATTGGCAAGTAGGATCCTAGAATGCAACAATTGATTGGCTTCCAGGAGAAGACCAATCAGGCTCCAGGAAGAAGTTAATCAGCCTATTAGGCAAGTAGGATCCTAGAATGCAACAACTGATTGGCCTGCAGGAATGGACCAATCAGGCTCCAGGGGGAAGCAGAATCAGCCAATCAGACGGGACTCATTGTGTAAATAAGAGCCTGAGGTTTGGGGGGCAATTCAATCACTGTTTTACAAGGTGCAATAAAGAGCATGAAATCACTACAGGACTCTGAGTATATTTCAGAGGACCATTGTAGGGACTGCCACCCACCCAACTCCGTGAAAGATGCTCCATGAGAGTCACATAGGCATTTCTTGGATTTTCTGCTTGGAGCTCAAGTGAAAGCACTTTCCATGCAGCAGTGGTGGGGAGCCTTTGGCTCTCCAGATATGCTGGGCTACAACTCTCATCCGTGACCCCTATCTATTCTGGTGGGGAGGATGGGGGGTGTAGTTCAACAATATCCAGAAGGCCAAAGGTTCCCCACACTTGCAAAAGATTATCAAGGGGTGTCCTGCCTTCCTCTGGCTTCTTCACAAGCCTGGGTTCAACTAACTGGTCCCACCAGCAGAAGCCCACACAAGGATTTCAGCTCTCCTCCCCCTCCTTTCCCACTGACTCTGGGGTGTATGTGACAGGAGGAGAGCCTGTCAGCTGGGGCTCTGTCAGTGCAAAGCAGTGAAAAATTTCCTTAGCACTAAGTTGAATTCCTCCCTTAGTTGGTACAGTAGAAGATTTGTTTCCAGGGGGGAGAGGAGGAAAACTCTCCAAATAACTCATGTGAGTAAAGAAGGGTTACTATCCACTGGCTGGGACCCAAAGCTAGTACAAACATAGACCCAGATAAGTCAATTTAAATATTAACAGTGAAATGCTATCGTGCAATGTAGACACTCAGATGAATTACAGCTTAAACCAAGAGACAATGAGTTGTACCTTCTGTTTGTTCACTTTATTGCTAAGATAAAAGTTATCAGAAATATTAGGGCATCATGAGGACCCCCTTATTGATGTTTACATTTATTACCCATTACTGCTCTTTCTTTAGTTGTTGTAATGTATGTGGGGGTTTTAAAACTGTGCTTAAATCTGAACTCTCTTTCCTGTATTTATGTTAGCCTCCTTGAAGACTGCATTGACTAAAGGAGAGCAATATTTTAAACCAAAAACCAAAAAACCAAAAACCTTTACAGCGTATAAGCCACGCCACCTGCAAGATACCTACTTCCCGTCAGGTGAAATGTTAATGCCATTGGCAGAGTAAAATCCCGATGCCACTTCTTTAACTTCTTTCGGACTGTAGTAGACAACATTTGTCCAGGTAAGGCCTAGGAATGTTTCCAAGTAGATCAAGATAAGCTCTGTGAAATAGTGGTCATTGGTGGCATAGAAACTGTCAGGACCCAGTGCCACAATATCATTCACACTAGGACAAAAAAAAAAGGAGAAGAGTAAATAAAAATACGGTTGTCACCTAAGCTGCTGTGTAGAGACATAGCAAGTTGTATACCAGACATGGCAAGGTTTACAGGCAGGCAGGCTTATTCAGTTTTCCACCTGTCTTCCCTAACTTGTTGTCCTCCTGATGTTCTTGGAACAAAACTCCTATCATCCTTGCTGGCTGGGGCTGATGGGAGTCAGAATCCAGAACATCTGGAAGGCACAAGTCTGCGTATGAGCATTCACAATTGCATACCATACCATCATGCAAGCCAAGAGTGATCTCAGTTCTCTTGAGTGCCAGACCTTATTCAGACAAAATGGTACCATCCACACACAGGAGGGAGGTATCAGCCAACACAGGGTGCAGGAGGGCAGGCAGTGGTGAACCTGAAGCTTGCAGTATAAACAAAACTCTGCAGTAAAACCCTTTCAGTATAAACAAAACTCTGCAGTAAAACCCTTAATCAGGACTGAACATGCCCAGCGAGTGTGGAATGCTGACCAACTGAAAACCGAGGGCAAAATGGAACCCTGGGCCAAATGGAACCAAAATGGAATCCCTGCATGGCGCAACATTTCATTGCAGGTCCAGCTTCCAAGTAATAAGTAGCTGTTCTGCATATTGCGCAGAGTGCTTGGCATAAATTAAAACGGGCTCTTCAAATTCAAAGGAGACAGAATTGTTTTATATATTATATACCTTGGCAGAAGCTCGTGTTTGATCGTTTTCAAGTGCACCAGAGAATTGTCGTCCTCCACAAATTTAAATAGCTCCACCGTTGACTTCTGATGCGGGTGATTTACGACAAAGAGGTACACAGTGTCATCTAGGGAAAGGCAAAAACTGAATGAGTCTGACAAAACAAGCAATGAAGTATGAATGAACTTATGGAGACCATATATGGGGAAATGAAGCAGCTCTCAGCAGCTGCCCCGTCTAGGGATCTCCTAATGTAGCTGAGAGAGGCTACTGCACTCCACTGTCAAAACACAATCCGGAGATATGCTGTTCCCATTTCTACCAAATCTTTAAGTGGAAGGATGTGATGGCCATGCCGTCTCCCACATGTTCCTTCCCCTACATTCCCCCTCTCATACCTGCAGGATTCCAGGGCCTGCACAGAACCAAACAGATATCATCTCCTATGACCATTGCAACCTCCAGTTTGCAACCCACAGTCAAGCCTACATAGAGATACAACTTGAGCATACTACCATCCTTTCCGATGTGCATCTAAAACTAAAGTCATGAGCCAATGCTAAGCACTTTTAAATACCATTGACTCCGGTTAGAAAGCTAAGCACATGGGAACATTCAACAACATGTCTCAGCTCTCTATTTCAGGTATAGAGAACCTGCAGCTCTTCAGATATTACAGGACAGCAACTCTCATCAGCTCCAGCCAGCAGTCAGAGATGATGGAAATTGGAGTCCAACAGCATCTCGAGTGCCACAGGTTCCCCATCCTTGGTCTATAGCAGGCATGGCCAAACCTGACCCTCCAGCTGTTTTGGGACTACAACTCCCATCATCCCTAGCTAACAGGACCAGTGGTCAGGGATGATGGGAATTGTAGTCCCAAAACAGCTGGAGGGCCAAGTTTGTCCATTCCTGGTCTATAGGGTATTCTTGGAGGCAACACCCCAGCTATGGAACTCCCTCCCAAGGGAAATCAGGCAGTCCCCTCTTTACCTGATTTCAGGAAACGTGCAACAACGTTTAAAAAATAAAATTATCCAGGGCTTTAGCCAAGAGTTCCATGGCATTCTCATGGTTTAAACTGCTCTGTGTAATATAATATAATATGATGTTGTTCTGAATTGTTTCATTCCATTTTATTGTTATCAGCTATCCTGAGCTCCCTTTGGAGAGGAAGGAATGCTATAGATGTGAAACAATAAACAGAATAAATACTATTTTATCAGCCTTCCTTATGGGCAAATCTACTTACCATCACCAATATATAAGCTGATCCCATGAGGGTTAAAGGATGCCAGATCAAACCCCCGGCTGATTCTCAGCTCAACAGGTCGAGGATTGTCTTCTTTTAGATCCATCAGAAGTATTTCTCCTCTTTTATTAGGGGCAAGTGATACTATCCCGGGGTATTTCAAACCCTATGCAAACAAAGAAAGCAGGCCTTTTGTCACATGAAGGGCTAGGAAGATCTCAGAGAGACGTTTTCATAACTCATCTGTTTTCCTTGGATATTCACTGAAATGCGAAGCTGTGGTCCTCCGAATATTGCTGAACCACAACTGTCATCATCCCTAACCATGGGCTACACCGGCTGGGTTTGATGGGAGCTCCTGTCCGGCAACAACCAGGCGGCCACAGGTTAGCCATCGCTGCTTTAAAATAGCTATGTAATGGTAAAGGGACCCCTGACCATTAGGTCCGGTTTTGACTGACTCTGGTGTTGCAGTGCTCATCTCGCTTTATCGGCCGAGAGAGCTGGCGTACAGCTTCCGGGTCATGTGACCAGCATGACTAAGCCGCTTCTGACAAACCAGAGCAGCACACGGAAATGCCGTTTACCTTCCCGCCGGAGTAGTTTATCTACTTGCACTTTGACGTACTTTCGAACTGCTAGGTGGGCAGGAGCAGGGACCAAGCAATGGGAGCTCACCCCGTCGTGGGGATTCGAACCGCCGACCTTCTGATCAGCAAGTCCTAGGCTCTGTGGTTTAACCCACAGCGCCACCCACATCCCAAAATAGCTATGTAGTCCAGGTTTATTAGGGCTTCCCCTAAATTCCACCAATAGATGGATTACAGTATCCCTCAGTGCCTTACTGTGTGGTCAGCAGAGATACCATGTAGGGGGGACCCAGCCCTGCTGCACCAGTCCACTTGGGAGAAGGCTTTGTTTTATTTACCGGGTATTTATTTTATACTATTGAGCGGTTTTTAGCCTCTTAGCATGCTGGGATGGTGGGGGAAAGCTAGTAACGGTGACCTAATCTTCAAGCCCACTCTTGCACTCTTTAACCATCAGTCTCTAATGAGCACCCCTGCATTCTGCCCAGTTACGTACAGAGTGAAAGGCATTCTGTTAAAAACTAGGGGTGTGTTTGTGCGGGAATAGATCTGGCCTGCAATTTTCAAGTATTCCTTCGGTGCATTGCGAACTCAAGCCCAGCCTTCCCTGAAAGACAAGCCTACTGGGATAACTTACAGAACTAATGAAAGCCAGGCCATTAGGAAGTATGTCAATATCTTCCGAGCCAGTTTCTGCAAAGAAAAAAAAAGGGAAATCTTGCTCAGACACATCCATACAATGCAGTAGAGTACAAGGTTGCTTCTTTTAAAGTATTGGGACATAGACTGCATTATTCTGAGTCGGGCCATTGCACTTTACACGTGTGTAGGAAACACACACCATGGAAGCAATGAGAGAACAGCCCCACTGAACTGTTACTCAGAACCAAGGAGAGACAGGAATTCAGAGGCGACAAGCTGGGCCAATGCTAAATTCTCTTTTATCTGCGGCTGGAAGCTGCAAAAGGCTCTGGTTGCTATGGTGATCTTTGCCCATCCACAAGAAGCAAATGCAAGGGAGAGGAATGGCTGAGAGGCTAGCTAACCTTCAGCTGGGAAATGTGCCAGGGGGAGGGCGTGTTGCGTAGGCCAAGGCTCTTGTGAAGATCTCGGGGCTTGGCTCTATCTGCTGACATGTTTGCTCTGCACTGGCATTAGGAGCACACAAGTTGTCACAGCTCTTATCGTGCACAAGTTCAACTCTCTCTCGCTGGCACACAATGCCAGCGTGCTCAGAATATCACCCTCAAGCGATGCTGACTCAGCACCCTCAGTAGGCTCCCTGGACTTAGATGAGGCACACACTGATAATCCCCTTAGGCAATATCTGACTTACTTGTCAAGAGTTGAAAGAACAGGCAGCAGGCCCTCTGCTAATCTCAGGGCCCTGGCAAACGCTCCGCCCTGCTACACCCTGCAAACAGCCTGCCTTCTGAAATAAGGGGTGTGGAAAGTCTGGTATTATTCAATAGAGAAGGTATTATTATTGTGGTTTTGCCAGAACAAAAAATAACGAAACACCTAAATATCAGTCCATACAGAGCAAACCACAGTGATAAAATAAAATAAAGAGTTCGGTGTTCTTTTACTGCCAAGAATGACTAGTTATATAAGAATTTGAACTTGGAAGGGACTCATGCTAGGTGTAGCTCACCTTGGTAACAGAACCTGTAATGACTGGAATGTCAAAACTAGGACTTGGAAGGCCCAGACTAAACTCTCTGGGTTATCTTAAGCCAGTCACTGACTGTCCGGCCAAACTACCTCACAGGGTTGTTGTAAAGATTAAAAAAAGGAAGGGGGAAGGAAGAGTGTATGCCATAATGATCTCCATGGGTTAAAAAAACATAACCAAAAATCAATATTTTGTGGGAAACACAGCTGCTGTATGTAGATTGGTGTTTCCTCAGCAAACATGGAAAGTGGGGGAAACAAGCATTCAGAAGTGGAGGAATCTCCAGAGACAGGGTCCTCAGGCTTGTGCATGAGGGTGTATCTGTGGCAAAACCAATGTCATAGCTGTCAACTTTTCCCTTTTCTTGCGAGGAATCCTATTTGGAATAAGGGAATTTCCCTTAAAAAAAGGGAAACGTTGACAGCTATGACCAATGTACACGCAAAAACTATGTTTGCTGCACAGAGTGTGCAGCTGGCCTCAGCAACTAAGGAAGAATGCATCGCTCAGTCCTTACCTTAGCTCAAGCTTGCAACAACTGCACCAAATGTTTGAGCCTCTGTACAAGAACGACAGCTTAGAGGAGGCTTCCCTAACATGGCGCCCTCCAGATGTTTTGAACTACCATTCTTATCCTCCGCAGGCAGCATGGCTAATAGTTGGGGGTGACGTGCGTTGTAGTCCAAAACATCTGGAAGGCGTTGAGGGAATGATGATTTAGAGAGCAGTCCCATCCCCAATACAGTATACTTTCAGCATATGCCAACTCTCATCATTTGATTACATTATTGATGTGAGACAGGAACAACTTCAGCTGTCATTTCAACATCTCTTGAGTCAATCATGCCCCTGACAGCTTCCAGAATTCGTCCCTGTCTAAGGCATGTTGCCAGCAGATCCAAGAGGATTACAGAGGGCCAATTCAAGAGTGTTGGTTCAAATTGGTACTCTGGTGGTTTTAAGAAAGGGAAAGCATTTACAGGGTTCTAGTTCCCCCTGGATTTCAAGTGTGCGACTAAGTCAATAAAAACAAAATATCATAGGAAGCGGCCTAGTCAAGACTGTGTATCGTCTACACCAGTGGTGGCTAATTTGTGCCAAGGTTGCTGGATTACAACTTCCATCAGCCTCAGTCAGCATCCCATTCAGGGATGCTTTTTCAGAGTCTCCTGTAGAAGGGCTTCACATTCCCTATTAAACTGGAAATATCAGGTATCAACCCTGGGCTGCTTGGCATGCCAGCTGAATGAATGGGTCTTTACCACAAATGCCCATCTATTAGGGTTTTAAGTCTTGTTTTAAATGTGTCCTTTGCTTTGTGCCTTTAACGGCTTTTAATTATCGTAAATTGCCTTGAGACAGTGTTTTAGAAGGCAATTAATAAATCAACAATAATAGTAATAATGCAAAGAATGCCCTCCACTAATTGAGCTAAGGTCCCTGCATGGTCATTTACTTCACTGGTCTTCAACTGGTGGGGCGCAGTCTGACCCAAGGTGGGTTGCAACAGGAGCACGACTATCACGCATATGGTAAAAAAAATAGGAAACAGGTCCCCAAACGGATCTTGCAATTAAACGTGGCTCCTGAGTCTGAGAAGGCTGAAGATACCTAATTTAGTTTTCACAACCAGCCTGCAGACCCAATCTCTGTTCTTTTCTGCACAATTCCATATAAATACTATTTACGTAACAATAATACTAATGAAGCGCCTCTAAAAACAAAACCAAGTACAAAAATTGAGACGATGTAAATCCCTCTGGAAAGAGGGCTTATTTAAATAGGCATAGAAAGGATGGAGAAAAGAGAATTCGGAGGGAATAAACGCAAACAAAAGCATGCGGGAGACCTACCAATTCCTTTTATAAGGTGGCAGTTTGTAAGCCGCTTCGGTTTATATTCTCGCGAGGCACACAATCTATGTCTGGAGGAGAAAGCAAATATAAACGTAGACTTAAAATGGGAAATATGGAAGAGCAAAACCTGCCCCATGTAGTCCAGCATCCTGGCGGCCACAGTGACCCATCAGATGCCTCCAGGAAGCCCACTCACAGGGCAAAGAGAACAGCCCTCTCTTGCGTTTGCTCCCCAGAACTGGTACCTTGGGCTCAGACTGGTCAACTATTCACATTTAAATGCATTGTGCCCCTCTCCCCAAAGGGCTTTGGTGCATGCATTCCTCCCTATAGCCTTTCTGATGGGTTCATTGCCAAATTCTACCTCCATTCAGATGACACTTACACCTCCTTTGGTGGAATGGGATGCTCCCTACTTCCAGTGAGCTTCCCTCCCACCGGCCCAGCCAGTATAAACTGGATATAAATGGCATGATTAATCCAGAAATGCCTTGAGTCTTGCAGAGCAGTCCTATACACGTCTACTCAAAATTATGTCCCGTTGAGTTCAACAAGGTTTGTTCTCGGCTAAGTGGGTAGAGGACTGAAGGCTTAGATCAGGGGTCAGCAACCTTTTTCAGCTGTGGGCTGGTCCAGCGTCCCTCAGACCATGTGGTGGGCTGGACTATATTGGGGAGGGGGGAATGAACAAATTCCTATGCCCCACAAATAACCCAGAGATGCATTTAAAATAAAAGGACACATTCTACTCATGTAAAAACACCAGGCAGGCCCCACAAATGATCCAGAGATGCATTTTAAATAAAAGGACATATTCTACTCATGTAAAAGGACGCTGATTCCTGGAACATCTGCGGGCCAGACTGAAGGCGATTGGGCTGCATCTGGCCCCCGGGCCTTAGGTTGCCTACCCTTGGCTTAGATACTAAGCCATCACCAGGGTGTATGTGTGTGAGAGTGTGTGTGTGTGCAGTGCATCTCACAGAAGAGTGCTTCAGGGAAAGGACTGCTCTTTAATGAGGGCAGGACAGTCAGAACTGCAACTGACACTGGCTTTAACTTTAATAATTTGTTTTGGAGCTTGTTTTTCCCCTCCCTTCTCCCTCCCATTCCTTCTTTCTTCCATGTGTCAAGTCTTTTTAAGACTATGGGCCTGAGGGCAGGGACTGTCTTACCAAAAAAACAACAAACACCAAAAACAGTTTTAAGCCCCTGAGTGTCTTTTTCATCCAGCACTTCCAAAACCAAGAACTATCGGTGCCCCTCGATTTCATGACTTTATGAGTTGCCATTGTTTTAAGGAGACCCACCAGATGTTTTCTGTTGCAGAGGCCAGAACTGCCTTTTTGAAGCCAATGAGGAACTGTTGCAGGGGGGAATCATTTTAGGACATGTCAGTACACCACACACCCGTGTCTGCCTTTATCTTTCCCGAAAGTTTGTAGCATGGTGAGCAGAAGATTGCAAGATAAGGTGCTAAGCTCAGCTTCCAGCAGCAGTAGCAAAGGAAACACCCCTGTTCTTATGGTGTCACAGTGTTCCCCAACGCCCACTGCTGAACAGGCAACACCATCAGTATTGACTTAATAGTGCCATTGAAAACATGATTTGGAAGCTAGGAAAACTTGGGAAAGGTAGGAGGAATCAGCCACACCCTGCTTAGCTTTATTGCAGGTTGTGCCATCCAATGCATATATTAAAGGACCTTTGAAAAGGCTTTCAACCAGACTTCCTCAACTTCGGCCCTCCAGATGTTTTGAGACTACAATTCCCATCATCCCTGACCACTGGGCCTGCTAGCAAGGGATCCTGGGAGTTGTAGGCCAAAAACATCTGGAGGGCTGAGGTTGTGGAAGCCTGCTTTAAACTAAAGGACCATCTCACTTGGTAGCAGTCATGTAGGGCAGAGTGTTTTCCATACCTCCCCACTCCCCGCCCAGAATATTTTCAGTTTCATAAGTTCATTTGTAGCAATGAATGGGTGTCAACTGCAAATTGTGAAAGTTTCCACACACAAAAATAGCTTTGTCTACTAAACAAACAAAAGTAAAACAAGAAAGCTAAATAGGGCAAGCTGATGCACACTGAAATTTTACTCTCTTCGAATTAACATAATTAAAAGATTTCCAGCAATGGCAGTGATTATATGACTTTCCTTCTATTGCAGAACAAATTTCCGCTTGGGTGGTGAATCACATTCAGGTTAGTCAGTTCATATAGTTCACAGACTGCCTCAGGTGCACACCATACATTTAAAGCATATTAAAAGCACACACACACACCCTGAAGATTCCTGGGAACTGTAGTTTATCCCTCACAAAGCTGCACTTCCCAGCACCCTTGCCAAACTACAGTTCCCAGGATACTTTGGGGCAGGGGGAAATGTGCTTTAAATGCATGTTGTGTACAAAATCTCATTGAAGATCTCTTGGGAAATGGAAAGCCACAGTTAATTGGCATTTTTATGCCAATGCACAAGAAAGAGCGTTGGCACTTTGGACTGCATTCATTGCCTAGGTCCAACTGCAGCTTTTGGTCTCCACAATTTTAGATTCAGGTAGGTAGCCGTGTTGGTCTGACACAGTCAAAATAAAATAAAATTATTTGTCCAGTAGCACCTTAGAGACCAACTTAGTTTGTTCTGAGTATAAGCTTTCTACCTAGAACAGACTTAGTTGGTTCTCTAAGGTGCCTCTGGACAAATAATTTTTTAATTTAATTTATTTGGTCTCCACAGTTTGAGTGGTAGCAACCAGCAGAGATAATTCAGGTATGAGCAATGCAAATGGTGACAATCCAACCCACGCTTGTTTCAGTGTAACCCTGTGGACACACTAGAACGCTAAAGCACACTGGAAGCTCATTCTTTTCCTCAGATAATTTTGGGCACTGTAGTTTACCCATCACAAAGTTGCAATTTCCAGGAACCCTTAACAAACTACAATGCCCAGAATTCTTTGAAGGAAATAATGTGCTCCAAATGTGCTTTAAATGAAGAGACATCAACCCTGTGAGACATGTTAGACCGAGGTGGCTGATCTTAGTGAGCTTTGTGGCTCAAGCAGTTGGAGCATACTACATTGAAAGACTTGGGAAATGTTTGTTTTGGACAATCAATGGTTTAAAGGGAAAACTTCTCAAATATTGAAAGAGATTGCCCAAGGGCAGACTGGACAAGGCGTTATCAGATCACCTAAACTAAGGACAGGCAAAATACGGTGGGCTCAGGTTACAACAATGACTGCTTAGGGTACAACCCAAGAGGAAAGATCTCCTACCTCACTCCAATGAATGGAAGCTACACAAGGGTAGCTTGCTTTCATTTCAGTGGGGCTTGCACAAGAGATCTTCTCTGTGGAATTTCCCCCCTAGAAGTTTCAAGAAGGAATTGGACAGACAGCTGTCAGATATGGTTTAAATCAGTGGTGGCTAGCCATTTCTGGCCCGAGGTCTGCAGTTATGGACTGCCAGCTCCCCAAGGGGTCAGAACAGAAGCGGGCTCCCCACAATCTCTCTCTCTCTTACCCACCAAGCTACACGGCCTGCTTCCATGCAGATTAGCTGAGGAGAGCTATGCTCCCTCACACAGGAGTCCCTGATGATGTCTCAATAAACATTTCACAGAAAATACTTCCAGGGATTCCTAACATTGCTATCTGCTGGAAGGACCATGTTAATAGAATACAACAGACAAAACCATGGCTGCCCATGCTCTATTAGCACAGCAGTCTCCAGATAACAGTTGCTATCCCTTTGCCTCGCCCCAATTCTTTTTTTTTTTTTACAACTTCAATATCTACCTCCACTTTACTGCTGTGTTAGCAAGATTGCAACATAACAGGCTTGCACTGCAAAGCCCTCTTGTCACAGTGTAAATAACCTGAAATGAGTATACAGTACATTTCCATGGCACTTTAACCAGAGATTGAATGTACATTTACTTGGAAATAAACCTGGATGTCATCTCTTCGTTCTTCACCCTAGTAAGGAATGTTTGCATTCTAACCTTTAAAAAAATCTTTTGTATTGCAGCAACGCTTTTCAACTCCCTATGAACACCCCATTATATTTATTGTGTTTTGATACGGTTCATCCTCGCTAGGAAGGATTTTGCACAACTGGTTTTGTTTCCTCTGAACACGCACCGGGAGTTACTTCTTGCATAAATGCTCTCATCAGTAACACAAATATGCAGTCTTGGCTTCATGTCTTTCCGCTGGAGTAGGAAGCCTATGTGATCCCTCTGCAGTTTGCAACAGAATAACGGGGCCTCAGTATCACTGATGTGCAGCTATTTGAATTATGCTGCTTCCAGCTGTGACAACAGTACACTTACCCACCACTGCCGAGCAATGAGACGTTCCATATTCCTCATTCAAACCCAAATTGTGTAGCATATAAAACTGTTATCTGAAGGCGGGGGGGGGGGGGCAAGTAGCTGGTCGTGTGAAAAAGAAAACTGCTTGTTGCTGTCCATGTTTACAAAAGTAAAATATGATGCCATTGTTATCTCCTTAACTGCAGGTTTCCCTGGCTATGTTTGTTTATTATGCCCTCTTATAATTTTCCGCCACGTGTAATCCTGCGAGATAGCTAGTTAGCAACCCAACATACACCCAAACATACATGCAAGTGTAATGAATGAACTAAAATGAATGGGACCCATTTTAAGCCAAGCGTTTTAAGTTTGGGAGTGTTCGGCTGCCTTATTCCACACACTTGCAACCAAGAGGTCTTAACAAGTAATTCTCTACAGAGAACTATGGCAAGCATTGTTGCAAATTATGCTCCCTGGTCAAACTGGAAATGAAGGTTGTCATTGGCTGTTGACAAGAGTACATTAACACCAAGAGGTTGGTTTGCGAACCAAAGAGCATTCATGCCAGATCACCAGGGGTATCACAGAGCAAAGCGTCTGCAGATCAAGAAACAGGGACAAAAATTAAAAACAAATAAATGGATATCCCTTTTCTTGCCCTCCCCCCCCCGCACCAAGCCCAGAGGACCGCAAGCCTCTTCCTTCCAATTAACTATCCAATTAGCAGAGCGCTTACTCATAAACCAAAATATATGCTGGCTTTATAATTAGTTTATATTACATTTATGCACCATTCAGAAGGTTGACATTTAACAACCTTTGTCCCTCAGCCAGAACAGAGAGTCTTATTACTCCACACACAATACAAAGTACATAACTAACTGCAACTCGGCCCTGCAAAGTAATATGAAATATGAAACTAGTGCTTTTTTGCCCAGGCACTCCCACTTCCAGCAAGGGAATCCAGTTAAAGGAAAACTGCATGAGAAAGTAACCCACAGGAAAAAGGAAGGCCTGCCATTTCCTTCTGTATGCCCCTTTTGCTCTTAAAAACCAGACTTCCCTCCTATTAACCCACCCCCAGCTTTATGTACAACTGAGGCAGCCATATCCACACCATACATTTAAAGCACTCTTCCCAAATAATACTGGGAATAGTAGTTTGCTAAGGGTGCTGACTGCACAGAGCAATTCCCAACAACTACAGTTCCCATGGTTCACCATGCCTGTAAAATTGTATAAGAACACTTTTTAATGCTTGGTGCAGTCTCAAGACTTACAGTGTGTGTGTTCTCATCCATTTAAAGCACTCTTAAAGCACACTCCATCTTCGCTGTGAGTCCTGAAGACCTGTTCCCTACCTTGCTGGCCAATTTCCAGCTGGCCTGGCTGACTCCAGCTGCAAAAGCTGAACAAACTCTTGGGTTGGGGTGCTCTTGCTGGTTTTATCCATGTCTTTATTTCAGATCTTGGGATTTATGTGGAAATTGTTCAGTTTGGCTGTGCATTTTTTAATCTTTTATTTATTGTTTATGACTACCTTTGTTATGTTATAGTTATGCATTTTTCATGCTGTAAGCCGCCTTTGGCATGCTTTAAACTGTGGAAAGGCATCATACAAATAAAATTAAGTATGCATGTATAAACTCAAGATTTGCTGCACTCATACACGTGTTGAGCAGAAAATGCAAACAAGTACATTTGCAACAGCTTTGGCTCATTGGGGGCCACAAATGGGTTTAGTTTTCTCGCTACCTCTACCTCAACTGTGCAATGAATTTTGCCAAGAGTAGCAGCAAAGCTTAGTCAGTGCAGAACTTGACATTGTTGCAGCAAAGACACTTTCCCAAACATCATGAATGTAGAGTAGCTTCTTGTGTGTTGCAAGGGGGGGGGGAGTGCTTAACCCTCTCCACTAAACTGAATTTTAGGTGGGTTGCTGTCAATTCTCTCCAGCAGATAGGAAGAGGCCATTTCCCTACCAGCTGGGTTTACTTTCAAATTCTGGAGCCCAAGGGGAGGAAGTCAGAAGAAGAACCTGTTAAAATTGGGGAAACTGGCAGATAATGAGTTAAGCATCCCCTTTCCCATCCCCCTTCCATTCTTTGGGAAACAAAGAGCCTCAGTGCCTTGTTCTGCCCACAGCGGGGATGAGATGCAAGCAAGCAGCAGCCGACCCGCTATTTTAGGAGGGGCAGAAGACATTGAGATGACATTATATATCTTGCCCGGAGAATCTAGGCTCTACGGCTAAACAAAGGGTCGAGGCTTCCAGCCGAACCCCCACCACTTTCTAACCTAATTTAGCGGAGGAAACTTTCCCAGGGCCCAACAAGGCAGTTCGAGCTGAACTCTTCTCTTTAAAACAAGAGGGAGAGAAGCCAAGAAAGGAACGAGCTCCCTCAGTTCTGAATCAGACACGTCTTAGGAACCGATTTTTTTTTAACGGCCGGATCAGACGGCCCCAAAATGTACGCTTTTGCTGCTGCGTTTTCTTCTAAACGCGCAGCAGAGGCGGCTGCAGAGTCCCAGCCACTTGCAGCGCGATCCTATGGCTCCTAACTGCGAAGAAAGCCCCGTGGAGTTCAGCGGGGCTCTGACGGCCAGGGACCAGCTTTCGGCTGCGATCCTGCTGTTGCTGCCGTTTTCCCTGGGGGTAAAGCGCGCCACTGAAAGCGCAGGATGGCACCGTGAGCGAGCGAGCGAGCGAGGGGACGAAAGGGAACCGAACGGCACATCCCCAACCCAAAGCGCGCAGTCGGATCTATCGCCTGCCTGCGCCTCCTTTTGCGCCTCGCTCCCTCCCTCCAGCCCCGCAAGAGGGTTAAAGGCAATCGGGGCAGCCCGATCCTATGCGGAGTGAACCTCCATCTGAACGCGATGAACTCCCGGAGCGAGTCCCCCACCCGGGGAATACTTCGCCAGTAAGCAAGCCGCGCGCGGCGCCGAGGGAGCAACTTACCGAAATCCCATCAGCCTTTCCCCGATCAAGGCGCCCAGGACCCCGACGATGGCGAGCGCCAGCAGCTTCCCCATGGCTCAGCCCCCGACGCCCCGCAGGCGACTGTCAGCCGGCAAGTTCAACAGGAAGTTGCCCGCCTCGGATTAAGCCGCGGACTCGGCAGCGCCTCCCACCTGCGCGAAACCGCCCCGCCGAGCCGAGAGAGTGACCGCAGCCCCGAGGAGACGCGTCTGGGGCTGCCCTGCCCTCGGCCCCGCCCGGGAGAAGAAGAGCGGCGCGAAGGAGGCGGAGGGAACGCGGCGCGTGGAAGCGAATTCTGGGCCAACGGAGAGAAGCGCCGGAGGGGAGGAGGCCAAGAGTTCGGCGGGGACGTGCTGCTTTCCCGCCCTTTCTGTGAGGCCGAGGTGGGTCTAAGGGGCCTCCAGGTTTCGCTGGACTTCAGCTCCCTTCAGTCCCACCCAGCCTGGCTGCTGGTCAGAGATGGTGGACCACAGGCTCTCCATCTCTGATGTATGTCTTTTTATTCCACCCTTCCTCCAAGTCTGTGGTTTCCAAACTTAGGTTCATAAAAAGACTGCCTTATACAGTGGTACCTCGGGTTAGGAACTTAATTCGTTCTGGAGGCCCGTTCTTAACCTGAGGTACCACTTTAGCTAATGGAGCCTCCCGCTGCCGCCACACGATTTCTGTTCTCATCCTGAAGCAAAGTTCTTAACCTGAAGCACTATTTCTGGGTTAGGGGAGTCTGTAATCTGAAACGTATGTAACCTGAAGCATCTGTAACCCGAGGTACCACTGTACTGAGTCAGACCATTGGTCCACATTAAGGTAAAAGGTAAAAGATCCCTGGATGGTGAAGTCCAGTCAAAGGCGACTATGGGGTGCGGCGCTCATCTCACTTTCAGGCTGACGGAGCCGGCGTTTGTCCACAGACAGCTTTCTGGGTCATGTGGTCAGCATGACTAAACCGCTTCTGGCACAACAGAATGCCATGATGGAAGACAGAGCGCACGGAAATGCCTTTTACCTTCCCGCCGGAGCAGTACCTATTTATCTACTCATGCTGGTAGGCTTTCAAACTGCTAGGTTGGCAGAAGCTGGGACAGAGCAACGGGAGCTCACTCCCATCAAGGGGATTCGAACCACTGACCTTCCGATCAGCAAGCCCAAGAGGCTCAGTGGTTTAGACCACAGCGCCACCCGTGCCCCTGGTCCACATTAAGCTCAGTAGCACAGATTCCAGGGTCTTAGGCAAAGAGTATCGCCCAGTCCTACCTGGAGCCATCTGTGTGCTCCATCACTGAGCTATGGACCTTAAACTCTGCATGCCACGGACCACTTGGTAAAATTGCCAAGGACCATATCATTGGTTGTAGCAATTGCAGTGCACGGCATTAGATGTCATATAATTTTTGTATTTCAGACTACAGTGCAATGCAATATAATGTGCTTCTCCACCCCGTTCAGGTCTCTTCCTCCCACTTGTCATGTGTGCTCCATCCTGGAGTGGCCACATGCTCTTGCTTTTCACAGAGATGCGGTCTGGGAGCCAGGCTGGCACATGGTGGCTTGCATCATCTGCCACACTTACCCTTGCAATAACCTTGAAACAGGCAATCTTTTGCAACTGAGCCTTGATTTAAACCCAGCTCTTCTGTAGTTAAAACTATAAAACTCGCTCCCACAAGAGGCAGCGATGGCCACCAACTTGCATGGCTTTAAAAGGGATTGGACAAATTAATGATGGATAAAGCTCTTGGTGACCACTAGCCGTGTTGGCCATGCTCTGCCAATAATGTTTCTGAAGGCCAGTTCTGGAAACTCCTGGAGGGAAGAGTGCTCTTGTGCTTAGGCTCACAGGTTTCCCGCAGATATCCGTCTGGCCAGCGTGAAGACAGGATTTTGGACTAAACGGGCCACTGGCCTGATCCAGGAGGCACTTGTTACATTCTTCCCAGAGCCATCTTTCCCATTGGGCTTACTGGCGTGTTGCGCCAGGGCGCCGGCCTCTCAGGGGCACCCCAGTGAGTGGGGGAGCTGCACAGCTATGCCGGCACTGGCGGCCTCCCCTTTCCCTGCACGCCCATCAGCTGCGCCCTGTCAGCCATATGGCTGGCAGGCGTGCAGCTTGCCTCCCAAGCCTCCACCTTCCCAAGCCTCCATCAGAGGAGAGCGATCCCCATAGAGGCTTAGGATGGAAGCTGCACCCCGCCAACTATATGGAGGAGAGCGATCCCTGCAGAGACTAGGGAAAAGGTTGACAACTCTGGGAAACTGGGTGGTGCGGGGCGCCAGAGGGATCTTTGCACCACAGTGCTGGATATGCTTAAGACAGCCCTGGTTCTTCCTGTTCTAAATCCCAAACTCTTACTCATTTCACTTTATTGGTTATTTCTTCAGGCTGCAATTGGCAGATTGTAGTGAAATAGGAGCACAGTGTTTTGCAACATAAATTCTCAGGAGTTCATAAACGTTCGTGACACCAATTTGCTGCATACACGGTTTCTCCAAAGAATCTTGGGAACTGGAGCTTACCCTTTCACAGAGCTACAATCCCCAGGTGCCGTTGAGGGGAAATCATGTGCTTTAGGTGTACAGTGGTACCTCAGGTTACATACGCTTCAGGTTACAGACTCCGCTAACCCAGAAATAGTGCTTCAGATTAGGAACTTTGCTTCAGGATGAGAACAGAAATCGTGCTTCGGCGGTGCAGCAGCAGCAGGAGGCCCCATTAGCTAAAAGTGGTGCTTCAGGTTAAGAACAGTTTCAGGTTAAGTACAGACCTCCGGAACGAATTAAGTACTTAACCCGAGGTACCACTGTATGATATACTTTGCACTCACATCCTCGACATGTTAGGCAGTGTGTAGGGAGAAGTATTCAATGATATTATGAACTTGCAGTCTAAATTGGTTTTCATGTCATCTGCTGCTTTGTGAAATCAAGGCCTTGGTAATTTTATTTCTACAAGGAAAGATACCTGGACTTTCAGAAAGACATCATACAGTGGTGCCCCGCAAGACGAATGGCTCGCAAGACGAAAAACCCGCTAGACGAAAGGGTTTTCCATTTTTTAGTTGCTTCGCAAGACGATTTTCCCCATGGGCTTGCTTCGCAAGACGAAAACGTCTTGCGAGTCTTGCGATTTCCCCCCCTCCCCCCCCTTTCTAAGCCGCTAAGCCGCTAACAGCCTTTTAGCCGCTAAGCCGCTAAGCCTTTAATAGCCGCTAAGCCGCTAATAGGGTTCCTTCGCAAGACAAAAAAACCACTAGACGAAGAGACTCGCAGAACGGATTATTTTCGTCTTGCGAGGCACCACTGTATATACCAGGCATCCCCAAACTCGGCCCTCCAGATGTTTTAGGACTACAATTCGCATAATCCCTGACTACTGGTCCTCTTAGCTAGGGATAATGGGAGTTGTAGTCCCAAAACATCTGGAGGGCTGAGTTTGGGGATGCCTGATATATACTAATAGTGAGCTTATTCTACAAGTGCCTACCCTTAGTGTAACTAAAATGGCACTGTCCACAAGAGAGAGGTGTCAGGAGGCTCGAGGTGGGGCGACCCATGATTTTCTGGTGTACAAAAAGATATTTGGTGAGGGGAACAAAGGGAGCTAAAAATCCCCAAACAGCTCAGTGAGCAATAAGCATGCTCAGTGGGCACAGAATACTGCTTGACTCTTCTGCAGGGAGTGAAGGAATGGAATGGAATAGCCCATGAAAGGGCATGGCTGGCTGGCTAGAAGCAGTCCACATTGCAATATTTTGTTGCAGGTCCCCAAACCTGAACTAAACCTCACCCTTTATTCCAGAACTCTGTTGCAGCTCATGTTGTCAAGTAGTCCAGAAGCCTGGTCAGGTCTGCTTCTGTTTCCTTAACAGGATTTTGATTTGAAAAAATCGGGAGATGGAGCTTTCTATGCCGTTAGTCCTACCGCACACAAGTCAGAGGTTCTTACCCCTGCATCTCCCCATCCAGATAATCAAGAGGCATTTGTACAGTTCGGGGACGCATTCCAGCCAGACCAGATTTGCATCTCCTGAGCAAGACTAATGCTCTGCATTAGTAGATATGAGATCAGACTTTTTTATGTTGTGGAGTTAAACAAATATTAAAGTACACCTGTTGTTTCTACTGCAATCTGGAAAATCTGGTGGTTTTGTTTGGGGCATTTTTTTGTGATGGGTTGTATTTTAATGCCTGTTTGAAATCTTTCTTTTCATTTAAACTGCAAGAATGATATATCACCTCGGATCAGTGATCACATTGTTGTCATTTCAGGTGGCTCTCAGGTTTGGATGTGTGCCACCATGACCTTACCATGGCATTGTGGAGACGTTTAGCCCCACCCCTATGCTTTCTCCTGAGACTCCATCTCTACACAAACAGCACTGCCCAGACTTAGTCATGAATTTCATCGGTATAGAATGCCATGATTTTCTATTTATATCGCATGGCACTTCATTCTCTCCTCTGCCTTTTGATTTTTAAACCCCACCCACCCTGCCAAACAAGGAAGGTGCCAGGATTGTGCTGTAAATTTCAGTGACAAATCTACAAGCTGTGTGACCATTTCTCTGGCTGTTCAGTCATGCTATGAACAGGCTATCCAGACTCTAGCAAAATGCTGGGCTAATAAATGCCTGTGTTTTTATGGTGCATATATAATCTGCAGACATGGCTTTTGGTGCCACAGCTAAAGCAAGCATCCCATTCTACCAAGGTAGAATATGCTCAGACTGTATTGTTTGAATCAGACTGTACTTTGCACTTTATTACCCTTTGACTCCACTGTTGACATTCCCTGCACACAGGCCTTTTGGGGTCAGAAGGAGAAGACTGGGAAGAGGAGGGGTTGGAAACTGAAGAGGTACTTAGTGAGCTGCCAGAGTCCGTGGCAGAGAGAAGTGCAGAAGCTGAAGCTGGCAAGTGGGAGAAGTGGCCAAGAGGCACAGACGAGTCTGGTGAAGAGTCACTGGTGTCTCTTCTTCTGTGTGAAAAGCTCCACTCCCCACATCTCCCAGAACCAGAAGAGGGCTGAAACAGGCAGAGTAGTGACAGACTTTATGGAAGCATAGCCTCCGATTGCTTGAAAACACCC